ATGGAATTTGCTGACTGCTGGGTCAATCTCCTCCAATTCCGCCAGGCGCTCCGGTGCGATCTCGAGCCATATACTGATGAGATTGGCAAAGCTTCGCGCGTGATCAATGAGGAAGGGTAGGCTGGGGAATCCTTCGCGGGATGTTGGGGGGAGACGACCCAGAATCTGTATTGGCGTGGCATAGGAGGGTGTGACGATAGGCGCGGGACGGTCGGCAGGAATGGCACAAATGGAATCGACGAATTGCTTAAAATCGGCGCGGTTGCTGACCAGAAACTTGTTCATAGGCTCCATCCAAGGCTCCTTGCTGCCGAACGTGGTCATATTGGCCAGGCCCTGCAGGGCCTTGGCGATCAGTGTCAGTGTGCGCTGGGCCCGGGGGCGCGGATGATCTGCGCGCATTAGAAAACATGTATGAGAAATGTGAAAGGGGAGAACAAATACCTTTGAGCAATCCAAATAGTTTGGGATTCAGGATTGCTGGACAAAAGAACCGCAAAAACAAGAAGCCCGATACACTACTGTATGTGACTGACCGGAGGAAATCGCCATAACGGTCCTCTGCACAAGCCCGGATATGCCGAAAAATAAGTCTCAATTCAGCCGGGCATCTAGAAGCAGAGCTTGCAATTGATTTCCAGACCCCTGTACTTAGGGAGACGAGGTTCCTCCAGTTGCGGTCGAGATCATCCGATCGGTGTACACGGGAAGGGTCCACCTCGCACTCCGGGTCGGTCTCATCGATATCGCGAAGTCGCTCGCCAATTGTTTCTTCCAAGTATTCCTTGCCTAGGCGACGCATGTGGTAGTCGAGCGCCTTGGTGAGAAGCGAGTTCCCTCGGAAAAGGAGGTTTGCCTCAACGGTGGCAGTACGGCCCATGTCTCGGACGAGCACTTCTCTTTCTTGACCCGACTCCCGGGAATCGTTGGAATGAATCCTCGTGGTATACCTTAGCCTGTTTGCTGTCGACTCTTTGTGCAGCCCATCAATCTCATCCTCGACCAATGCTGAGATCCACTCGACAGTCGTGCCTGATACCTGGTAAATATTTAGGAGAGCTTCGGACAACTGATTGAGCTCCGAGGACATGACTTGAGACATGTTAATCGTGAGCCCATTTGTGAACGAATGTAGGATTTCCGACATCGGCGTATACTCGTGCGACATCAGAACAACTGTCTCCTCCATTCGGGCTCGCATGAGCATTTCACCCACCGGCTGATCTTTGTCATCTAGGATCGGCCACCATTTTTCCGTTTCGACTCCAGGCTGTAGATCGTCCAGCTTCAAATCGACCCTGCCGAACGTAGCATCCTGGGAGGAGAGCTCAACGTCGTCTAACAAACGCGCCGGATTACTATGGTCCTGGCCATAGGAGCCATGTGCGATAAGTGTCCAATCCTTCTGTGTCGGGTTGACCGTCTTTACTAGAATCGACACTTGCGACAGGACAGGCGGAAGATCACTGAAATTAAAGTCTTCTCGCCAAAACGGGTTGGCTGTGCGGTACTTGACAGCAGTCTTGGCGCGGATTTCCCCATCAAGAAGTACTTCTGTGTAGTAATCGCTCACGGCAGATGTTGGGGTTGAATTGCTATGTGACCGCGACTGCTTCCGGCTTCGAGGAGCTTTCTCGGCAGCTTTGTTTCGGAGGAGCTTAGCTTCCGTTACTCTCACATTGAGCACTCGCTCGATTCGAAACATATCTGCCATAGATGCTGTAGGGGCATCGGACGGACTCTTCGGGTCGTCTTCTGCACAGGTTTCGGGCCCATAGAGCTCTGGTATCGTGAAGGCGCGCAGGAGCACGAACCATACCTCGAACAGGACTCGACTTTCCAAGGCTAAATATACGGGTCGAGTGATGCCGGATGCAGAGTGAACGGCGTATTGAGGATAAATGGCGACGCAAAATTCATCTTCCAAGACCGAAGAGTGTAATTGCTGCACCGAACAGCGCGAGAGCTGCGAAAGTTGGATGCACGTTACAAGGGTGATATCGGACTCGGTATACAGCTTGAAGGCGCCGTTTTCTTGCAACGTACAGCTGACCCTCAGCCACGACGAGGAAAGAGCTCTTTGTTGTCGATATGTTGACACTCGGCGGCCAGAGGAAGGTCGAACACCGGAAGCACTAGGCCTGTCCCATAAGAGCATCTTGCCAACCTTGATAATCGCTGCCTCTTTCTGGACTGTACTCTCCGAGTTTCGCCGGCGTTCGGCCAAACGGCGGTCACCAATCGCAACCGACTGGGGCTTTGTCATTTTGTTTTGAACGCCCTTGGGACGAATTGGCTGCCAGCACAACAAGGCAGCAAGCCAGGAGTCGAATGTTTCGCTTACATGGGGCCTTAGCTCGACACCTAGCCCTGAAGTAAACGTGGACACGCTGAGGTAATTCGTCCGTAGTTCCGGATCGACAAGCGAGCGAACCTGACAGCCACGAAGATCAGGAATCAAGGTCTTGGCCAGTGCGGGCTCTCCCTTGGCTTGATATATTAGACTGCCCGTGGCGACGTTGATGGCGCAGTAGCCCGAGGACCAAGCCGTTGTTGATGCAGTCCGAAACGAAAGAATGCCGTGCATCCTTCCACAAGTCGTTTTCATAAGCTGCAGGATCTTGGACGCATCGGTAGTCGACAGCGCGGAGGGGGTCTGATTGGCTGATACACTCGTCACCAAGCTCGAACCCCCTGGGGGCTTGCTTGACCGTTGGCGACCAAGGGAGTGACTGAAATAGGTGGGGGACTGAATCGACGGATAGCCAATAGATGACGACTCGTCCGGGGTTTTGGGTTGTGGAACTGCGGTGTTGATGGATCCCAGGCGATTCCGGGCTCTGAAAAATGTGTTAGGGGAGATCTCGCTGCGCTGATCATCTAGGGTGGTGGTCCGTGACCGTGCGCGCTGACTTTTCATCTCCACATGTGTATCTTCTTCGTCGCCTGCCGAGTGGTAGGAGTGATAATCGCGACGGGATTCTCGATCGGAGGCTCTTGTCCGGGTGGCGGGACGAGGGGAAGCTGCTGCACTTGATGCGAGATACTCCGCCTCCGAGGAAGGTGAGTGGTTGCCAGCCTCAGAGTCTGGGGTGACTGTTCGAATTCCCGTGTCCCTAAAACTATCGGGATAAACCATCCCATGCCGGTCCTTGGAGGAAGACTTCTTGCTGGGCCGCCGTTCCACAGGACGACTGTAAATTCCCTGATGGACAGAGTTCCGTTTGAATCCACTTGACCCTTCCGGCTCCATCTTTTCTTTCCAACCACGCACGACGGAACCGGTAGCAGCGGCACTCGGGAGAGGTCGCTACAAAGCACACGGGACGCAGGCAAACGGGCGGAGACACATAAACTGGTGATACACTGCGGGATTGTTACCTTGCAGCACGCTGACACCCAACGTACGCTGCGCAACCGTCCTCTAACAATTGAGGGTCTCTTTCGTCCAATGGGTCGCTAGCTGAACGCATGGAGTCCGGGGTGAGGGAGGGAGCTAGAGTTGCACATTCGGTCGAGGCCGTGGCGTTTTGGGTGCTAGCGACGGTGAGAGGGGGCGGTCGCAAAACGATTGTTCGCTCAGGGGAAGGGTGTGGTATGGAGGTGGATTCGACGGTCGTGACGATGACAGCGGTGGCAGTAGGGGACCAGTGAGTGAACGGGAGAAGCGCAGGGCAGTGGTGGATGAGAAAAGTACAGGGCGAAAATCGCTAGTAGGCGCGGCAAGGAACCAACCCTCCAATAGTCCAGATACAGCCGCGATGTCGCTGCTAGAAGGCCATCATCGGGTATGTTAGCTCGGTGGGGAAGGAAGTGATGATGGGAGTAAGCGGGTTTGAAAGAACCCAACAGTAGCAGGCAGTGGGTGGTAATGGGTGGTAATGGGGTTGGTGGCAGCAGCAGTTCGGTGGATAGGTCGGTCGGCACAAAGGTTTGGTTCGACCAACCGCGGCGTGATATCATTGGAAATTGACACAGAAAGCTTGAGGGGAAAGAATAGACGCACCTTCATCCGCTGGAATTGACCTATCTGGTCTGATTGAGAAAAAAGAAAGAAAAATACCCTCTCCTTTGCTTTGAATTGCTTGAGAGAGAATTCAATCCGTAGTCGGGGGGGGGGAGGGGGAGGTACGACTAGGGAGGATGGGAAAAAGGGTGGGATAATTGGTTCGAATGATTGACGGATTGGTGAAGCCAATTACCCAGACGACGTGCGTTGTGAAAGCTGCAGATCCCGCATCAGCATGGATGCATTTTCTGTACGACAGACGGGGGGGAGGTTGTCTGGTCTAGTCGGGGGAGTGTGAGAGGTGTGCAAGTGGTGGTGTTGAAGGTGGGTGGAAGTAAGCGAGGGACAAGAGGGAAAAAGAGGGAGAAGGTGGAAAGTCAATGATCAGCTGGGGAGAAGGGCGAGGGATGGAGTCAGTCCGCGACGGAGGGAAAGCGGGAGGCGGTGTTGAACTTCGTGCAGCTGAAGAGAAGCGGGCCGGGTAAGTGGAATAAAAAGGGCACAAAGAGAGGAAGGAGATTAAGAGGAAGCCAAAGAAAGAGGACGATGATGATGATGATAATGATGACAGTGATGATGATGATACTGAAGAGTAACTGACTCAGGTATCGATGGCCTTTGGGGGAGGGGAGCAAATAGAACCAAAAGAACGAAAAAATAATAATACTAACTCACGATCTTGGTGGTCTCTTTACTCACGTTGCACTTGAGATCAGGGATACTGAAAGGCTAAAAGGATCAGGTCGAGAGGGAAAGCCGGTGATACGACAATGGACAGACCCTTCTAACTCCCAGAATATGCAGGGGAATTGGACAAACGCCCGGTGATCTCTCCGATTGATGATAGCTGATATCAGTAGCGGAGGAGGATTATAGAGTAGACACGGAACTACGTGGAGTAAAGGCAGGCAGGGCCTGCGAGTCCTTCTGCTTCTTTTCCCTGGGACGAAGGCGTTGGTGATTTTTTGGGTTCCGAATTGATGGGGTACTGGCAACACCGGTTATGGAGTCATTGAACCACTCTCTGGACTTTCCCCCCGACCAACTAAATACGACTAATGGCCTGATGTTGATTTGCTTGGATTATTCTATATGCAATCTTGACCCCTTTATTTCATTTATATTTTTGACATGGCAAGAACAAAAATGTGTCCAGTCGTCAATTGACCCTGATAATACGAGTGGAATTTAGATTGAATAAAAAAAAAATTAATAATAATAAAAGAAAGAAAAAGAGAACAAAACTTTAAGAATTGAGGAAAGATGAACAAAAATTTAAGCTGAAATAAGAGAAAGGGAAAATCGACGGAAAAGAAAAAAACTGTTGGGTTCAGGCTCTGGGGCTGAGATCCACTTGATGATGGAAGGCGTGTCTTTGAACCTCCTATTTTCCACTCTTCCTCATTAAGTAGTAGGTAGTGTGGTTATTATGACTGGCTTTGAAGTTTGGCTATACGTGAAGCATGGTGCAAAAGCAACGGGATTATAACACGACTTTATTATAGCTTGTGCCATTAAACATGATCTTCCTTATGAACACGCTCCTCTGCACATACTCGAGCCCATATATGAGGCGTTGTTTCAGGGAGGTCATATTTAGTCCCGGCTTAAAAGCAAGCCAAGCTCTTCTTCCCTTGAGCCGGGAATATTTTCAGCCCACCCTCTTGCTACCATGAACGGTGTGCAATTGAATTCGATCGCTTTACTCGAACCAACTTGCATGACCCAGTTGATGCTATGCCTAGACACTAGGGATAGATCACCCATGTAGGAAGTCGTACGAGGTACGTATCTTTGTTCGATGGCTGAAGAAGCGGGTCAAGGATAGTCGATTATCATGACCTTCCAGAAAGGTCCACGAACACACCACCTTTGGACTAATGTACAACCAGCCCGATAGTGGTAAATTTCTTTTTTTGTTTCTTTTCCCGCATTTTCCTTCTGTTCTACCCCAATTGTTTCTACTTCCGCATGTTCTTGCCTTCTTTTTCCCTTTTCAGAACCTGACTGATCGGCTCAGTACCTTGGGATAGTTCTCTTCCTCTCCTATCGATGCCGGAGGAAGTCGTACAAATCAAACCGTGGCAGAGACAGTCGTACAATGATCAGGCAGACCATTTCCAGAACAGACCCAAACAGGGTGCGGCAGTCAGATCCGAGTCACTAATAATTATCGCCACTGGGATCCTTCCCGCCTCCCCTCCCCTGTAGTACTACCCGACGTTAGATTGCATTTATATTGCCATGGCTGCTGGTGCGCTCCAAAAGCAGTAAGTAGAGGGTAGATAGTGGTATTTGTGGCTGACCACGCATGGCTATGCTCACGTCAACGGTGTGCAGAACGCCCATCTGCCGCGATTGTGGCCTAGTTGGTTGTCGGCATTCCGCGGTCATCAAACCATTGCCCAGTACTCAACTAAACCATTCCTTGCCACTACTAGGTAGTCTTAGTAGTACTTACTTAGTTGCAGGTGTCTTCGATTCAGCCAATTGACAACAGACCTGGACGGGGAGGAAAAGCCACCGTTAGTAACAACAAACCACAGCATAGTATCTATAGATTGACATCAATCTTCAAAGGACCAGTCCAAAAAGGGAAAGAGTCACTGGGTTAGCAGGAGAAGCAGAACAAAGTCATGTCCATTGGTACAACCTTCGCCCAAGCGAACGTTTTACCAAAATGTGGATCATTTGGGAAACCATAGACTTCTTCGAACCGTATATAAGGCAGCCAACGGACACCTGGTGTACGAAACTCACTGCAGCTGGAGGATGGGGAGTCCTGGAGGACAACGCTTGTCTTTGGGTGGGACAAAAGGAAAGTGCAGCAAAAGGCCAACGATGCACCACGTATGTTACTAGACTCTTGAACTACTGACCAGAGAGGAAAGAGCCCCTGCCGGGCACTGGGCAGACTAGCAAATAGAATGAACTTCGAGAATGGAAACCCACCCCGCACGAGCCACACCGGCGCTCAAGCATTGCTGGCGCTGGAGCCAATCAGTGGTCCCCATCGGCGGCCCATCCCGTCCAGCATCCCACTTGGGCCTGACTCGTGTCGTCAGAGACTCACCGGCCATGACTCGGCCATCCTATCATGTGATATGCGGCACGTAATCATCCCTTTTTCGGAAACTCCCGCATTAACGTTGTTCCAGACACTGTCACATGATTGTTCATCCTTCATGCCTTAGGCTTCGTTTGATCGGCTCAGGCAGCACCAACTTACTTTACCGCTTCGGAGCAGCAGGACTAGTCTGCACTCTTAACTAGCGCTATCAAGGTGACTGACTGACTGACCGCCTGCATCATCGGAGCTTATCACGAGGCGGTCATCAGCTCTCCTCCTCCAACCCCCCCGGGCCCTGCTCCTGATCCGACCGACCAAAGTCAACCGACCTCCTTCAGTAGATAACTGCTTGGTCGATGGTCTCATCTCTCATCTTCTTCTCGACTTTCTGATTAAGTCAAAAGGCAAACTGATCCTCGGTTTCACTCTATAGATCCTCTTTGAACTGTTCCAGGCGGATCAAGGCGATCCTCGCTCTAGGTTGTCGAACTACTACCGCCCTTTCGGACTCTCAACCATCCTAAGCGCTTCTCTCTATATATCGTGTTTACCCTAGCTGGATGGCCTTGAAGTGACCTCGTACACGGCTTGATGGCCGTTAATAATGAACTGATGATTCTATTATCTACTTCTATTTAGTATCTTAGCCCAAGATGATGACCTCCAATATCTTATCGCGTTTCCTCCCTCCAAACGGCTCCCCGTCAGTGTATGAGACGATTCGACAACACGACAATCATTCGGACGCTTCGGACGTGGAGGAGCGTGCAGGAATGGCGTTTGAGGATGAACATGGGGACCGGTTCAGCGACCGTGAGCTGGAAGATGCTCTAGCAGATGCTGGGAGGGATGACTCCCCCGGTCCGAGCGAACCGTTTCTCCCCCAAAGCCCGCCAACAAAAAGGGACGAGGGTGGCTTCCTCAAGGCCGGTTCTCGTCGCCGCAAGTTTAGTCGCTCTGGTCGGATACATGCAGCTTCACCGCGTCATAAATTCGATGATAGCGATGATGATGTTCCTCCCTCACTGCTCGTGGAAGGAGACCAAGATGACGATGACGTTTTGAGATCGAAGCTCCCACCTCCGCCCCGTTCGATTGACCCTCCGAATGTTGATCCTCCGCCCCGACCATCACCTCGAGACGACCGAGTCCATTGGGAAGCAGCCCGCGATCGATTACCGCTACATGACACCAATAGGCGGGCCCATCATGCAAGTCTGTGGTCAGCGGGATATCCGAACCTAGCACTGGTAGATCCGAAAGAGAAGGCACTATGGATGTGGGCAAACGTGGAGAATCTGGACAACTTCTTGAAGGAAGTCTACACATACTTTCTTGGGAACGGAATTTGGTCGATTTTGTTGAACAGGGTTTTGAGTCTTCTGTAGGCCTCCCTTCCCCATGCTTAAGTTCGCCTGAATGTTCAAGACTGACTGACACATGGGGTTCAGGACCTTTGCATTTGTCGTAGGATTCAGCATATTCCTCACAAACTGCATTGACTACCACAAGGTACGCGGGAGTCGAACTCTGGACGACATTCTGATTCAGAAGTGTACAAAGCAAATGTCCATGTCCGCTACCTTCTTACTATGGCTGCTTTCTTTTTTCTGGATTGGCAAGGCCTTTCAGTACTTGCTAGATATCAGAAGGCTCAAGCACATGCATGACTTTTATCACTACTTGCTTGGAATATCGGATGCTGAAATCCAATCAATTTCCTGGCAAGAGGTCGTCAGCCGATTGATGACTCTGAGGGACTCCAACCCCGCGACTGCGGGTGCGGTCTCTGCGAAGCATCGCAAGTTCATGGGGAGTCAGTCCAAGCAGCGCATGGATGCTCACGACATCGCGAACCGACTGATGCGCAAAGAAAACTACCTGATTGCGTTGATAAATAAAGATATACTAGACCTGACGCTCCCGATACCGTTCCTGCGAAACAGGCAACTGTTCTCTCGGACACTTGAATGGAATATCAACCTCTGCATCATGGATTATGTCTTCAACGAGCAGGGCCAAGTGCGGACGTTGTTCTTGAAAGATACCCATCGACGGGCCCTGAGTGAAGGCCTGCGACGGCGTTTCATGTTCGCAGGCATCATGAATATCTTCGTAGCCCCCTTCATTGTCGTCTATTTCATGATGCACTATTTCTTCCGCTATTTCAATGAATACAAGAAGAATCCATCGCAGATCGGATCCCGACAATACACCCCACTGGCTGAATGGAAGTTTCGTGAGTTCAACGAGCTATGGCACCTGTTTGAGCGGCGTGTCAATATGTCTTACCCTTTCGCGAGCCGCTATGTGGATCAGTTCCCCAAAGACAAGATGGTGCAATTCGCGGGTTTCGTGGCGTTCGTCTCTGGGGCACTGGCCTCGGTATTGGCCCTGGCTTCCGTGGTGGACCCGGAGCTGTTCTTGGGGTTTGAGATCACTCACGACCGGACCGTGCTTTTCTACTTGGGTGTCTTCGGTTCTATCTGGGCTGTCGCGCAGGGTTTGGTACCCGAAGAGACCAATGTGTTTGATCCCGAATACGCACTCCTTGAAGTCATCAACTTCACTCATTACTTCCCAGGCCACTGGAAAGGCCGTCTGCATAGCGACGATGTTCGCAAGGACTTTGCCGTGCTGTATCAGATGAAGATCGTCATCTTCCTGGAGGAGATCCTAAGTATGATCTTCACGCCGTTCATCCTCTGGTTCAGTCTGCCCAAGTGCAGTGACCGTCTCATCGACTTCTTCCGAGAATTCACCGTCCATGTCGATGGGATGGGATATCTCTGCTCCTTTGCGGTCTTCGACTTCAAGAAGGGTACCAACGTGATCTCGCAAGGGGATACGGGTCGACGGGATGCTGCACGGCAGGACCTTCGGGCGGACTACTTTTCGACCAAGGATGGTAAGATGCTCGCATCTTATTACGGGTTCTTGGACAACTATGGTGCCAATCCGCGCAGTGGTCATCCGTCAACCAAGCGGCAATTCCACCCTCCACCCACATTCCCGACCCTTGGTTCTCCATCGGCCATTGAGATGGGCAATTTTGGAGATCGACCGGCCGCAGCTGGGCTGATGGGTCAACAATCTACATACGGCGCCGCTGCTCGGTTTGGCCCCGCTGGCATGGGCGACCATCTCTCCCCGGCACCATCGATGCTGCTCGACCCGCACCATCAGCCGTCGGCGTCAGGGTTCCGGTCAACGCACCGCGCTAACCCGTATCCGCGCTATAGGGCCTCGCGACCGCCTCCCACCATCTCCGACCCCATTGAAGATGAAGATCCTCCGGCGGGCAAAGGTCGTAGTGCGGTTAAATCGTCGCCCGGGGTCGGGTCGAGCGGGGGCGGCATAGGCACGAGTGACAGTAACTTGGGGGAGTCATGGCGGATGAACCTGGTCGGCGATGAGGTTGAGGAGGAAGATGAGGGCGGCGAGAATGTCGACGCCCTGGCTGGCGGTGGGGGTGTCCTGGGGCTCATTCAGCAGTTTCAGAAAGTCAACCAGGACAATCGGGGACGGACGACGGTTGGTATATAATTAGAATTTGTATCAGGATATGAGGTTTCCATCACCTCTGCTGTGCACATGGTTACAGTAGGGAAGTTCGACTCAGTGAAAAGCCTTGGGGTATACCAGCCCAGACAGCCAGTGAAAAGGCAGCCATACGCAGTTAGAGAAGGGTACTGTATGTAGAGTGGAGGATAAGCCAAGCTAGTGACCACACCTGCAGCAATGGTTAGTAGTACGTACTAAAGTTTACGATGGTTCTGTCCAGCTGATTGACTCTGGTCGGAGTGTATCTATAGTATGGAGTGCTAGTCTAGCCCCGGCTAAATGGAAGGTAAAGGACCAGGGTCTGTCCGTCAGTCAGTCTGTCTGTCTGACTGACCGGACCTTTGCCCCGATTTATCCAAGCACCAAACCTTTTTTCCCTTGACTTTTCAGATACGGGGTGTTTATTTATTTACAAGCTGGTACTGCTATCCTGTTTTCCCTTTAATCGACCCATACTCTTCAAGGTCCATCTGCTCGCTCAGATTCCGAGAAGAGCACGTTTCAGGGTCCTCAGATACGAAACAGCTGTCCCCGCTGCGATGCCCCTACAAGTCAGGGGAGAGTAGAGAGAGAGGGCCCCAGAAATTCTTCAGTGATGGAGACCGCAGAAAGGCTTCTAGACTAGTCGGATATTCACGGCACGAATAGATGCCATATTAATTAATATTAGCTTGGCTGGGTTCGGATGGCGGAAGAAACAGACTGACGGTGACGGACAATGTGATGGGATTCTACTTTAGGACTAGAGGGTCACCTGACCACTCAGATAAATCCAGTCCCTACCCTGGATAAACTCCGGCTTCCCGGGACGAGTATCCATGGATGAGGGAAAGGAAGGTTATATTAGTTTAGTCTTTGGAAGAGTTGTGTGGAATCTGTCCACCATCATGAATCAAAGAATTGAATGAATGAATGATTTCAATCAATGGATAGACTCGTGGAACCAGAGGGAAATTGCAACCCATTATTCTTCCTTTCCTTGTGGTTGTTGGTGTTATCCAACCCCCGCCCGTCTCGGTAATTACGGGGGGTCCATCACGGGCTATAATTAGCAACTCGCACTAAAGAAAGAAAAAAAAAAAGAGGATCCAGTCCGTCCGTCCCCTGCAGCCGACGCGCATTTATGTTGGTGTTGACTATTGACTGGCGATGTTGGCAGCAACAGCCACCATGAAATGCCCGTGGTATACGTACAAACATGCTGCGAGTTGCGTAGAGACATACGTAGGCATTGAGATGATCTTTTACAAAACCGTGGTGGAAGAAGATGAAGTGGATTGTGGGTTGATAGTATAATACTAGTCATGGTCTCTCCCTTTCCAACCCGGTTCTTGACAGTCGATCATCCATCAGTCTTTCCTCTTTTCCCCCCCTGCAAGTCTGGAACCAGCGCGCCCGACCGACCGGCAGCTATCAATCCAATCTCCCTGCTGATCCCTCCGTCGCGGATCCGGGGATCTCCTTTTTTTGTTGGTCTCGATCATGAATTTTTATTGGATTATTTGGGTGCAATGCGCTGGACTATTGACAGTCTTGACTTGGATTCCAGTCCTAGCATCGGAGTATTGCTTACCCCGGTCATTCATTCATTGATAGCTGCATGCAGTCAATTGTCATTCCTTATCCCATTATTCAGCCGGGATGGATCAGTTAGATGTTAGATGGACGATGATGATGATGGATGATGATGGATGATGCAGTGAACAAAGTGATAGTTTAATGCAAACTGCAACATCCACTACTATCTATTTGGTTCGTGACTCGACTCCTGATCCAGCGATTTCCGACCGCGATAACTTCTCTGGGCTCCACGCGCGTGCACCACCAGATTCTTGGCCGGGCTCTGGGTTCTGCTTGGATGTGAGCGGCGGTTGCATCCGCAGGCGGTTCAGGCGAGTTTCCATCCATTCTTTTAGTTCCTCTTCAATCTCAATTCATTCATTTTATTGGAGCACCGCGCGGTCTGGCCAGTCCCTGGCGGAGGTCTAAACCTTCCAGTTACTAAACTAGTCGGCCTTTTACCTCTCCCCTCTTTCTCGCTCTCTCTCTCTCTCTCACGCGCTCTCTCTCACTCACTACTCACTCTCTCTCTCTTCCTGTCGTGCAGGTGTTTAGTTGGTGCTTTTTACTTTCCCACCACCTTTAGACTCGTCCTCTTCTTCCTTTCTCCTCTTTTCTTACTTCTTCCCTTTTTACCCTTTCTTTCCCTTTTCTCACCTGATACTTTCCCTTTCCGGTCAGGGCTGCAGGTTGTCATTCCCAATTCATCCATCCTCAACCCACACTCTCTCACATCTCACTTCCTTCTTTCTCTCTAACCCTCCCCTCCGAAATCAATCATGACCTAAAACAGGTCAACTCTCCGCCATTCACCCACCTCCTGATTGATTCATTCTCTTTCCACTCGTTTGGTCCACTTTTTTTGCATGCTGGATCTCAGCCCAGTCTGTCGTTAGAGAATCAGACCCTCCTCAATTCTTATAATCCACTCCTCATTGATTGGGAGTCCTCCATTCGTTTTACCCGAAGTCTTGTCCCGCGGCTTGCAGGAACTTGACTCCCTTGGGATCTCGTGATCCTTAGCGGTGTCCCTCCTCCCTCGTATAACCCGCACTCCCCCTCTCAATACCTCCTCTTCTTGGGGGCCATTTATATTATTCTTTCCATTTGACTTTCCTTCCGCTTGGGGGATTTCTTGCCTTTCGTTTTTCCGAGTCTTGTGTTACTACCTTCTCGGTCACATTCGTTTACCATGTTTCGAGCCCGACGGTACCGGGTTCTCCTGGTCTTTGCGACCATCTTTGTGCTCGCCTTCATCCATTTCGCTCGATCTCGAGAACAGGCTCCCTCTGCCTGGAGTGCGCCGCCACCCGTTGATCGCCATCCTGCATCTTTCTCGCCAAATCCTCCCCCCGCTGACGAGACCATCCCCAAGGACTCTGCTCCCATAAATGCCCCTCCGTCCCCTCCTCCGTCTTCCCCTGAGAGTTCCGATCCGCATTCCGCCGACGAAGCGAAAGAGCCTTCTACCGAAACCTTATCTGATGCTCGCCCGTCGACCTCCGCGGAAGTGTCCAACCCATCGAGCGATGCAACAGCCTCGGAGAACAAGAATGAGGCCGAGTCTGGTCCGGCCCAGTCCCAATTGGGCTCTCAAAGTAAAGGGGATTCAGTGGTGGACGCTCCCGAGTCCACCTGGCCACACCCTCATTGGAAGAAGATGCCCGAGCAGTATCCTCTCGCTCCCGAGGACTTGATCCAGCTGCCGGCCGGTCAGTCCAAGGCGCTCCCTAAACTGCAGGCAGATTTCAAAGATGAATCATCCGCCGACAAGATGAAGCGTCTCGAGAGGCTATCTACGATCAGGTCCACTTTCGAACACGCTTGGACTGGCTACAAGACTTCCGCCATGGGCCACGATGAAGTTATGCCTCTTCGGGGTGGATATCGCGATCCGTTCAATGGCTGGGGAGCTACTCTCGTGGACGGCTTGGATACCCTTTGGCTCATGGGCCTGAAGGAGGAGTTCTCCCTTGCGGTCGACTACATCAAGACTATTGACTTCACCACCTCCAAGAAGAAGGACATTCCGGTCTTCGAGACGGTCATCCGTTATATGGGAGGTCTGCTTGGTGCATACGATATCTCGGGACACAAGTACGATGTGCTTCTGGAGAAAGCTGTAGAGCTCGCTGAGATCATCATGGGCGCTTTTGACACTCCGAACCGCATGCCAACCCTCTTTTACAAATGGGCCCCGTAAGTTCTTTTTTTCCCCCTGGCGCTATATATTGGGATCATGGATAGCTGACCTACTTGCTATGCAGGCTTTATACAGTGCAACCTCATCGCGCGGATAAGAAGGCTGTGCTGGCTGAGCTCGGCTCTCTTTCGGTGGAATTCACCCGCCTGGCACAGTTGACCAAGGAAAACAAATACTACGACGCTATTGCGCGCATCACTAATGCGCTCGAGGAATATCAGGACAACACGCAGCTTCCTGGCTTGTGGCCAATGAAGATCGACGCGTCTGGATGCAAGAAGACCCCCACGCACATCGATCATGAGGTTCCTCGCGGCAAAGTGCCAGCAGAATCACCCACCAGCACTGCTCCCACTAAGCCTCACACCACCAGGCCTGCTCCAACAGACGCCCAGAGCTACACCGAGTTTTTGGTGCCCCATGATGCAAGATCGCTGCACGAGGATGCCCAACCGGCTGACTACGGTGGAGTCTCGCGTCAAAACTACCCTAGCTCAGAGAGCGAGTACCGCGCTTCCTTCGATAAGCAGACCCCCGACGCGCAGTGCCATGAAGGATTGACCAGCCCCGCCTCGGAAAGCGAGAAGTACGGATTGGGCGCTCTTGCTGACTCGACGTATGAGTACCTGCCCAAGGAGTATATGCTGCTGGGTGGTCTCAACGACCAGTACCGCACCATGTACGAAAAGGCCATCAAGGCCACCAAAGAACGGCTCCTCTTCCAGCCCATGATCAAGGGCGGTCGCGACGTTCGATTCTTGAGCACCATGACGGTGCCCAAGCAGCCTGGTCGTACGAAGGTGACATATGATGGCGATCATCTATCCTGCTTTGTGGGTGGCATGGTTGGTATCGGTGCGAAATTGTTTGGTCTTGAAGGTGACATGGATCTGGCGTCCAAGTTGACCGATGGCTGCGTGTGGGCGTACGAGTCCACCAAGACTGGGATCATGCCCGAGCACTTCTCCTTGCTTCCTTGCAAGCAGGGCGAAAAGTGCGAATGGAACGAGGAGGCCTACTACAAGGCGCTGGACCCGAACATGCAGGAGCGATTGGCTCGGGCAGCAGCACGCAAAGAAGAGAAGGAGAAAGAAAGGGAGAAAGCCAAGGCCAACGAGCCCTACGTGGATCCTGAGCCTGAAGCTATCAACTCGATCAAGAAGTCTCACGCCAAGCGGGAGCGCGGCAACTGGCACGTCATTGCAACGCCTCCCGACGACATTAAGAAGAAGGAGGAGGAAGTGGTGGAGCCCGTTGACGATGCCGAGGAGGAGAAGGCCCCCTCGCACGAGGAATTTGTCGCAGCCCGGATTCGGAACGAGCGGCTGCCACCTGGTGTCACTCGTCTGGTGGATCGCAAGTATCTCTTGCGGCCCGAGGCGATCGAGTCCGTGTTCATCATGTACCGCCTCACGGGCGACGAGTACTGGCGCGAGAAGGGCTGGGAGATGTTCGAGGCGGTGTCTAAGCACACGCGGACGGAGCTGGCCAATTCGGCCATTGAAGACGTGACGGTCCAGACTCCCAAGCCGACGGACGAAATGCAGTCCTTCTGGCTGGCGGAGACGCTCAAGTACTTCTACCTGTTGTTCAGCGACCCGAGCGTGGTGAGTTTGGACGAATATGTGCTGTAAGTGAAAAGCTGGCCTTAGACGCAAACTGCAAACTGGAGACTGACCCTTGACCGCAGAAACACCGAAGCGCACCCATTCAAGCGCCCGCAGTAACCCTAATGCTCTCTATGGCTTTGTATGCATGTGCATGTGCAGTCTACGTCGATATTGCTGTTTTTCTTGTTGCGTTTGTTTGGAAAAGTACAGATACCACGTCCCCGAGCACATGAGTTGATTGACCCTCTTCTTTAATCGTCACCCTTTTTTTGTCCCTTCATCTTCCCCGATTTCTCTCTCTTGCGTGATGCTTTCGTTATTTCTCTAGCTGGCTTGGGAATAAGAGGCTGATATCAGGCGATCTGTAATGAACCCGGCGACCGGCGCTGGGAGGATGTTGTTGTTGTATAGACTACGTACTTTACTAGTGGCTGTAAACAAATTAATCAGGGGACCGGAGAAGTCACTTCGGTTTCTATATTGACAAATTCACTCTTCCCATATATAATAATCATTGAAACCTCTGCATCTACACCTTCATGGTGTCATAACAAGCATAATGACTTCAGACAATATTTCGTTAACAAGAAAACTAGCTCGCGATTTAGTGCTGATGAATGACGTACGGCCCCTTAGTAGATAGTCTCCTGTTTCTCCGACCAGAAAAATACCGGTGGATCGCCCGCCAATCCCCCGCCGCCCGAGTTGACTTGGCCAACTTCCATCCCATACTTTACCTTCTTGTTGCTCGCACCACACCACCACACACATCTACACACAACACCACTCCACGCCCTTTCTCTTCCTCCCTTCCCCTCCCGGAGCAGTGCACCACCCCTCCTCGCAACTCAGCTCCAGGCGCAAGGCGGGCGGGATGAGTGCAGGGAAGCACCCACACGACGACATTCCCGACGAGGACGATCAACCAGCAGCAGTAGCAGCAGCAGCAGCAGCACCGGGAAATGGACTTTGAGGTCTCTCTAGAGAACGAGCAGCAATTCTGGGACGAGATCCAAGACATTGTTTCCTCCCCTTGCTCCTCCGAAGATCATATCGATAATGCGCTGAGGTCTTACTTGGGTCTAGCCACGAAATATAAAGGTAACCCTTACTATATTCTGTGCTGTGTGTAGGTGTGGAATGGGGGGGGAAGCTGACTAGTTGGGTGTATGGGCAGATGAATATCTTCAGTCCGAGTTAGATGTTACGAGGTGCTCGTATAAATTGCTTGCGTCGAATATCTTTGTCGCTCATACCGATTATGTACGGAGGCAGATGGTTTATGGGTTGTTGCAGGTTTGTGCTTCTTACTTCCCTGTGGATGGTGTGAATATGTCTGTCTGACTTACTGGTGGTTTGGTTAGGATGACGACCCTGCGACTCTTCACCTCATCGTATCCTTTCTGCTCTTCGACGGTCGACAGCATGACGTGGCGTTTCGGATGATGAATGAGGAGGGCCTGTTCCCCAGGTTGTTGGAGCTTCTGCAGGCGCGGAATCGAAAGGAGGAAGAGGAGGTGCCTGCGGGGTTACATCGGTTACTGATGGATTTGATGTATGAGATGTCGAGGATCCAGAGGGTCAAGATTGAGGATTTGGGTGCGTTGCCTTGGCTATATTGGTCTAGTCGTCTGGTTTGTTTGTTGACTGAAGGGTGGCAGTTCTCGTGGATGACGAATTCGTCAAGAGCCTCTTTGATATCATTGAGGATCTCTCGTACGATGTCAATGATCCTTATCATTATCCGGTTATTCGTGTGCTGGTGAGTGGTTATCGTCCTTTCTGGGATGTACTGCGGAAGTTGCTGATACCCTCGACAGCTGGTTCTGAACGAGCAGTTCATGATTTCCGCGCATGATCCGGTCGATGAGCATACGTCCAATGGCTTGACAAACAAGATTATCAAGATCTTGGCGATGCACGGCAATCTGTACAAGACTTTTGGCGAGAATATTATCCTTCTAATTAATCGTGAAGGTTAGTAGTCCCCAGCGCAATGGAGTCGAATATGCTAACTCTTGCAGCCGAGACTTCGCTCCAGCTTTTGACACTCAAGCTCTTATACCTCATCTTCACCACCCCGACCACGTACGAATACTTTTTCACCAATGACCTACATGTTCTTGTCGACATCCTCATTCGAAACCTCTTGGACCTGCCGGAAGAGGCGTCCGCTCTCCGACACACATATTTGCGTGTTCTCTATCCCCTACTGGCACATACGCAGCTGAAATACCCACCCTTCTATAAGCGGGATGAACTCAAGCGGGTGCTTAGACTACTCGTTCACGGTCAGCTCTCCGATAGTGGGCCTGACCGGGAGAAGATAATGCACTTCGACGACGTGGACGAGACTACTCGAAGGCTGGTTCTTCGATGCGCAACCGTGGAATGGCTACGAGACCCTGAACCAGAAAAACCAGTTCACGATGAAGTTGCCACGCCCACAGATAGTGTACCTCCTGATGCTGAATTCGGAGCCCCATTGGAATCCTCTCGGACCCTCTCCCCCACGAGCACGGTCGACAGCTCTCCCGAGAACATGTCGCCCACGAGACTAGACGGTCCGGACTCCAGTACATCGAGCATGGCTGCGCATCACAGGCTCAGCCAAGTGCAACAACTCGGCATGCACCTCGAGCCCGCGTCATCCTCCAGCCTCAGCGTCCAAGAAGTAGCATCCCAGCACGTGAAACCTGGCATCATGACACCCAGCCGCAACGATGCCCGTGCTGCCACTGATAGCCCAACGAGTCCATCAAAGCTGTTGGGCAAGCCCAAAGTCAAGCCTCTGCCTCCGAGGGCAAGACGTTGGCGCGGCCGGCGAGACGACGAGCACGGACAAACTGACAAGATCCCCGAAGACGCCGAATCTCAGCACACAAGTCCAATCATCCCACCCGCAACCCTCGTCGCCACCAACAGCGCCATCGAGCGCGCAAATTCCACCGCCATAGTTCCGCCCCCTGTCCCCAGTCACTCGCGCCGCTCAGCCTCCAATCCACCCCCGGCTGTTCCTCCACCCCGACGCTCAACAGTCCCCCACCTCCACGCAGGTCATGGAGGAGTAGGTCACCTTCCTGTCCCAGTCACGAGCCACTGCACCCCGCTTGCCAGTCCTTCACGACTTGCGCAGCAACAGCAGCAGCCCAGCCCCAGCACATCCACCACCGCACCATCACCTACCCCGCCAACCGCCACCCCTGCTCCTCAGAAACATACCCAGAAACCCGAGCCCCCTAAAACCCGTCGCCGCGGCCGCACGAGGAACGGCCCGGCTGAATTGACGTATAAACCCACTCCGGCGCCAGATTTACCGGCGGGGCATCTGGACAATGTCCAGCAGAATAGCCATAAAGATAGCGAACCCAAGTCCAGCGCTACCGTGAGTGTCGAGGAAGCGGTGCAGAACGTTAGTCTGGAGTAGCTAGCTGCCTAGCTGGCTGCACAGGGGATTTTGTCTGGGAATAGCATAATACATCATAGCATCATAGCATAGCATAACCATTTCATCTAACTATCTATAATCTGCATGCATCTGCATATTCAGCGCATCTAATTGACTACTTCTATTGCTCTACTTTCTCAAGCATACAACCAACCCAATAATCAAATTGATCTGGTATCTTAAGACAGGAGAACAAAGTTAACTGACTAAATCTCAAGCGAGCTAGCTAGTAGTTCAATCATTATCAAACACCCACCAATCTTCCCCTAACTTCATAGTAATTAGATAGATAGATAGATAGCAGACTCCCTCCAACTTACTAGCCAGCAAACCAGCCAACCAACCAGCCAACTATACCCCAACCAGCCCAAACCCAAACCCAACACCGATACCATTACCATTACCATTACCAAAACCACAAAACATAGAATACGTACAAAAAACACAAACACAAAATACAAGACTAGACTAAACCAACGAAATCAAAAATTACACCTAAACAACTAACTAACCCAGTGGGTAAGTACTAAGTAGTTCCAGCACTAGCCCCATTCTCGGACCTGGCAAACCAAAGTACTTTTTGCGCCAAACGGCGGTTGTGGGAAAGCCTTACCGAGATCGGGTCTAGTCTGGATCTTGTTTTTCTTTCCTGGCGGGTTTCGTTAGTTTAGTTTCCTTCGGGTGGAGGCTCCCGAGCTGAGAAGTTACGGACGTACGTATTTGATGACGACGACGGGATCCAGTCATCCACCTATTACTAGTTCATTTGCAGGTTGTGGTTTGGAGACATACATACAGGCGATGTCGATAAGGGAAGGTAGGGTGTTACTTTGGGAGGTAGGTAGGTGGTGATGCGTTGTAATTGATAGAGGTTGCATAGCATCATAGGATTGTTGAATGATATGATTGAAGTCGGTACGATGTTTAGCAATAGAAGATGACTGACTCTCAAAGTCATCCAATTTCATGGTACTGTCAGATATGCACAAGAGACTGTGTGATACATAACCAATTATTCACAAGACTTGTGTAGATGGACAGAAGAAGAACAACATAACGTAACATAACAAGTAGAAGAAAAGACAACAATCGCATATCATCCACGTGGGTAAGCCAACTGACAAGCTCTCTCCAACTCCAAGAAAACAATCACGACCGGCGCGATCAAATTCCGAAAGCATATCATATCTATGTATAGAATGCCAGAAGCATTACCCCATAGTGGTGATCCGGCCGTCCAATACCTGATGGACGTAGTGGAGCAGGATGTAGGTCAGTGTTTCTGGATGCCCCAGAACTTCTCCGCTCCAAATGTACCAGAGGAGTCTTGCTTCCACAGATCATCAAAGGCAGTAAAGAGAACCAACTCATCCTCGCCAGTGAACGTCTGCTGCAAGCTGGCAATCGCCTTTTGCTGGTTCAGCGAAGACGGCACAGCCTTGCCATTGGGTTGACCGTTGTGCGGCCATCCTGACTCGCTAATGAGCGTCTTTTTGCCGCGGGCCGCTTTGGAGACCTTGTTGGCTTGGTCTTTGACGTACTGGCCGGCTTTATCAGGGGTGTTGTTGTTGTCGAAGAAGGCATGGCAGTTGGCAGCACAGTAATCAGACGCTTGGCAGAGCTCGGGGTGTTGGATCATGACTGAGAATGCATCCACCGTTACCACGGGCCCTTGGTACCCTGCCGCGCGGAGCTTGCTGCGTGCTGTATTCACTGCGTTTACGACATCGGCAGCCGAGTTCTTACCATCGTTGACCAGTTCGTTGCCGATATTGATGGTGTGAAAGACGGACCAGTCCCCATTTGCAGCCCCGGTGATGTAGTCAAGACTGGATGGGAAATTCTGCAAGTCGAAAACACCGGCGAAAACTTTCAGGTTGCGTTGTCGCGCTGCTTTGGTAACCTTGTTCGTCTGGTCACAGTCTACGCCGTAGATCCGGACAAACCCGTATTGCGCCAGCTTGTCCAGGTCTTCGTTGATTTGGTCTTGGGACTTGCAGGAGCCATCATTGTTATACGGAGAGTAGGAGATGCCAAAGCGACGGTAATTCCCGGTCTTTGGATGGTTGGTAGATGCAGGGAGTGGGACGGCGGGAGAGAGATCCAGATCTCCATCGAGAGTCGATAATATTGGTGGAAGGGTTGTAGGCGACTATTCTGTTAGTCCGAACCCTAACTTTATCTCTGGAGCGGTGCTTTTTGGGTGACACTCACATTGTCTGCTGTCGCAGTTGGGTCTGAATTGCCGCCGCCCACGACGTTGTTGGCAAGAGCATTTCCAGCCTGGTCCACCCATACAATCACATCACCTCCTGGGAGATCACTCAGTGGACCAAGATCGCGCTTTTTGCCATGGTCGTCTACAATCTCGGTCAATCGGTAGGTTAGACACTTGTAATCTTAGGTTGACGTACCATAGGGAAGTGCGCAGACAACATAGCTGAGCAGCAACACAACGAGGAGGTACATGAGGCGTTTCATTGCTGGTGTAACGTAAACTTGACAAACTTGACTTTGTGACCGGTTTCTCAAGGTTCAATCCACGTGGGGATTTGAGAAGAAATCCTACCGTCAAGGGCAAGAGGAAAGAACAGTCAGGCACAGAGCAAAAACACGGATTCTGTTCAAAGACGCCGTTCAGCCAAGCGCATCTCCTGGAGATTCACTCTGGCATAGAGTGAAGACTCCTGCCCTTCATTCTGGAGCGCCATGAGTGAAGACAGGGGAGTGCCGCTATTCTGCTTCTAGGAAAACAAATGTTTAACTGGGCTTGTTTTCGATGGAATGTTAATTTCGTATCTGCGCAGATCCCTTGGTCTTGAGAATGCGCCACGGCCTCGACCTGACCATTCGCCACAAAATCGAAAGCCCGACAGATTTCAAGGTGCAAACTGTGGCCCCTTGGTGCTTTCCAGAGCCCGAGGCTGGTGCCCTTCCCCTATCATGACTCGACCCATCAGTGAAGCGGATATCCCTGTACATCCCTTTCGTTGCGTCGAAATCCAAGACACAGGTTAATGAGAAAGCATTGATTGGACAAGAACACAAAATTATTATTAGAATGTAATGTCTATTAATGTCCACTGTGCCCAAGCACGCAAAGAAATAAAGGCTGATATGGGCAAATAAGAATATCTGCACAGTAAAAATAGAGACACGAGGCGTCAACAACCTCATATCACGTCTCAAGAAACGCATCTAGGTCGCATCAATCCACGGTGTAATATGTTATACAAGAAATGTGTAGGATGGTGCGCTATATCACCAACAGAAAGGGCAACAGGCGCGAATGAAAAAAAAAAAAAAAAAAAAAAAAAAAAAAAGAAGAAAAAAAAAAAAAAAAAAAAAAAAAAAAAAAAAAAAAAAAAAAAAAAAAAAAAAAAAAAAAAAAAAAGAGTGTACAACAGGCGTGTCATTGGAGCATTAATGTTCATGGCCACTTCTCAGGATAGGCCGGGAATTGAAATACGAGAATGAAAGGGAAAGGGAATCTTTTACTTCCTCTTGCTTAGAACTTTCGTAATCGCATGGCGGATGGTGGTTCCTGCTTTTTCAATCTCCTTTCTCGTCAATCCGATTGTCACGCAAACCTTCAAGGCAGGGGGAACAATCTGCTTGGGCTCAAAGTTATCCTGGAGAGTCTTCAGGCGACTGATGAGGACACCGTTTGCGAGACACTGTATTCCATAACTGTCAGTTATTCTTCAATGTATGCCAATTTTGCCAAAGACTTACCTCGTCAACAATATCTTGCAGCAAGAATTGCTGGTCGTCCAGGGACAGCTTCTTCGCAGCAACAACCTCGGGCTTAAGGACCAGAATCATCATAGGATTCTCGGGGGAACTGGTGCAATAAACCCAATCACTGCGAGGGTCCAACTGCGCCCACATGGCCTTGGTATGCTCCCGCAGCTGCGTCACAGTCTCGGGGCTAGTCTGAAGGAGATTGATCGTAGCACTAGCAGTAGTAGACAAAAGAGCGGGGAGTGCGGCGGAGAAGGTATAAGCAGCAGCCGAGATACGCTGATGATGGACGATCTCTTCCGAGCCAGCGCAGAAGCCTCCTCCTGCAATCAGTGGGCCGGCCAGCGAGCCCACAATCATATCAACTTCTGCCGCATCGACGTTCTGGTGCTCAGTCACGCCACGGCCAGTTCGCCCAAGAACGCCAAAGGACCAAGTCTCGTCGAGGATCAGGCGGAATTTGTACTTCAGCTTAAGCTCGATCTTCAAAACTAGTCAGTCCGAAGCACGGAGAAACAATGATCAGGATAAGGGACTCACAATCTTGGGCAAATCCACCATGTCGCCGTAAGATTCAAACAGACCTTCGGTGATAATGAACCGCCTAGTAAGGGGCTTCCTGGCTTGTTCCTTGGTAACCTTTGCGAGGACTCTCTCCAAGTCTTCCATATCATTATGCTCATACCAGCGAACAATGCTGCGAGAGATCTGGATACCCTTGCGAATAGCGAAGCTAACACCCTTGTCCGCAACAATGATATCGCCACGCTTCGAGAACGCAGGAATGACACTAGAGATCGTCGAAAAGGCCTGCGCATAGATAATACAGGATGCGGTACCAAGGTAGGAGGCAACATCAGCCTCCGTCTTCATATGAACATCCTGAGTACCATAGAAACCGCGGGGACCGCAAGGACCGACACCATAATTCCGCAGAGTCTGGATGGCCTTCTCCTTGAGCGACTCGTTCGTATTGAAGTTGTAATAATTATAGGAACCGAGATTGACGACTGTGCGACCGTTGCTCAACTTAGACTTGGGTCCAACTGGGCTGCAAGTCACCAACAGTCAGCCTACCGTCTCACACAAGAAGCAACCCAGGAAAGACAATACATACCCAACAATGACCGTTCGCTTATCGACCTCCATCGCCTCCAACGGAGTAGGCTTCCCCACCAACGGCTCCGGAGTCCACTCATCCACGAGATCATCGACCTCATCCTCGGAAAGTTGAACCACACCCGGTTTAGTCGAATACTTCGGAGCGAGGAGATACCGGACCGCAAACAAGAAGAGGAAGAGCTCGACAGCTGAGCGGATAGGATCATTTTGGTAACTAGACTTCACATAACGTAGGAAGATCGCTGAACCGGGTAGACGATGAAAGAGGTCTGCGAGTTCATGGAGGTACTCCGAAAGGAGACGCTGAGTCTCCTGGATATCCATGACGGAAGAAAATCCACTTAGCGCTCGCGGCGCAAGTACCCAGGAAGCAAAGAAGCAGAATCTAATATTAAATGAAAGAGAGACCCTCTATAAATGAATCGACAGCATCAGCGATTGAATAATAAGTCAAGGCAGCGGCATTCCCGGAGGATCGAAGCAAGACGGCAAGTCCAACTTCCGGGATGGGCGCGGCCCTAACACGTGACTTGGCGCTCCTTGCAGGTCGGCCCGTCTCACAAAGGGTATGAAGCCGTAGGCATCGAACAGGCCCTTAATATGCATATATTCCGAGAGTACGATGTTTGCAGGGAAGGTCCTGGACTAAATGTTTACGTAGAAGTGGCGTTGAACTACGGCTTTAGGAAATCAGTAACTCTCAAGACTCTTTGAATTGATAGTCCACACGACTACAGGCAAAGGAGCCTTCTAGATAAACACCAAGGAAATCAAAGGCAGCCGGATGCAATGGGACGATACAAGAAAAGCTGGCAAGTCTAGTGACCATACATAAAAGACAGAACAACACCTTGACAATACAAAACAGTTGAAAGAGATTGGACCCATTAATGTTGGCAACTGAAGGAGCATACACGCAGTTTCGTTCAATGGAAGAAGGGTGGGACGAAAAAAAGAAAAATAAAAGGCAAATGTATGAGACTCGGCAGCGACATCAAGGCGCTGGTTACTTTATACAGCTCGTTTCCATGTTCCATTTCCGAAAAAGAAAGACAGGTAAAATGTATTGAAAAAAACAATTTAGGACAAAAACAACCTCTAAGCAGATGCAGACGCCGCGGACGGGGTCCAGGCAGAGTAACCGACAGGGAGACCATTACCAGTGTAACTGGAGATGGTATCGTTATTGTCGGTATCCAGAGGCTGCATAAGGCTCATGATGTTGAGGTTCACGCTGATGCCTTCATCCCGGGCAACCAGAGGAGCAATGAGAAGGATGAGGAACAGAACCAGCATAGTGAAATACAGAATCGCAAATCGGACAACTCTTCTCTTGCGGAGCTTAGACTGCTTCAGAGAGTAGATTGGAGGGCGAATTTGACGACTGTTGATACGTTAGTAAAGCTCAGATAAGATGGAGTCCAGTGGGATTTGAACGTACCTAGGCCTCAGCCAGAAGAGGATAACGGAGTGGAACTTGTCAACATAGGGGATGCAGAGAGCAGGAAGCATGACAAAGAGGAGAATATGGCCCAGGACAAAGTCGGCAGAGAAGTATCCAAGCTCGGTAATCTTGCACAGGAATTCTCTGCCAGGCTGGGAAAGCGAGTGCCAACCCATGTTGTACCATTTTCCGGTCCACCAAGCGATGTTCGACTGGTCATGCTTGAATTCTCTGGTCAGGGCGAGGGAGATGATCAGCTTGTAGATGAAGCGCTGAATTGCAGCGGCAGAAATCATTCCCAGGACCATGCGAGGCCAGGACCAGCTCTCAAGGAAGAACATGACCTCGAAAATGACAAGCAGGATAATAACCGCGATGGCGTGAGCGATAGCAGCGAGGACTGCACCAAACTTCTTGCAGCACATGCCAAAGATGGGACCCATACAGCAAGCCATACCGAAGAACATACCCGAGACACCGGCGTTAACACCGATGGGACCGAAGGCGACGATGGCAATACGAACCACGGCATTTGACGCCCGCTCGTTGTCATTGGAGATACCAGTTCTCGAGTTGATGTAGAGGTAAGGAACCAAAGTCACAGCAACTTGGACGAGAGGGGCAATGATCTCACTAAAGAAAATGTTCGTGAACTTGGCCCTGGGAACATCGCCAGATCCCTTCTCCGAAGGAACACCAAGAAGCTTGCGCTTGTAACCAGTGAGACGGGTACGAGACAGGCGGCAGAAGGCGATCCAGGACGAAGCGTGCGAGCGAGAGTTACCACGGGACAGCCATCTGATGTAATCGCGGTAGTCGATAAAGAAATCGTGCCAGGCAAACTGGTGGGGGTTGAACAGGAAGGGGGAAATGCAGAGAGCAAGCAGAGAAACCCAGAACCAGATCAGGGCTGGTGTCCACACAGTGGATGTCGCAAACAGAAGCATGAGCAGCAAACGAGAACCGGCATAGATGGATGGTCCAGCGAAACGGGAGTACAAGACACCGAATGGGATACGAGCCGTAGCGAAACCACGTCCAGTACCGATGTAGCGAGCACCGCCGAAGGAAAGGTTCTGGTGAACAGCATTGGCGTAGATTTGGCAGACAAACACCTCGAACATGAAGGAGAAGGAACCAAAGTGCTTGGCCAGACGAGTAGCCATGCGCCAAAGACCCCTCTCAGTCAATTCCTGGACGGCCAGGGGAACGAAGGAGATGAAGAACACAATGAAGATGGAAACGACGCAACGGTTCACCCAGGCGATAATGGGGGTAAGATCAGCACAGTACGTGGGACGCAGAGGGTCAGTAATGGGCAGGTTCGAGTTGTAACGGCATGTAATAGTCTCATGCTTCAAAGCACCAAGGTTGATCAGAACGATCATGAACATCTGCACAGACAACATGATGAACATGTTGTTAAGATGGAAACCAGGGTGAGCATAGTAGAAAGACAGGAAGCGATCGAGGGGCAGCTGTGTTCCGAGATAGTAGTACTCTCTGGACAGCATCTGCTCACCCATACCAGTACCAATCTTGGTTGTGAAGTTCAGAATGGAGCCGAAACCCAAATCACGACCCTTACCACACTGGAAGTACTCGCAATGCTTGATGCGTCCACCACGGCACAAAGCAGTCATACCAGCATAAATATCCTCGTTCAGGTGGAGACCCTTCTGAGCCTTGGAGATACCACCACGCGTCGTCATGAAGATACCGTTTAGAAAATCAGGGTGACCATAATGCAGCTTTCCACCAATCTGCGCAAGGGTACGAGCAAACAGGGTACCGAACGTCTGTTCCTTACTGGCAGCAACGTCACCAAGAACACCAACATTCTCAGAGAAAATGTATTCACGAGCACCGAGAATGGCGACAGGGGTTTCAGCTTCGGTGGCAATACCAGGAGTGTAGGGCGAGACATTGTCGGTGGTAAGTTCTTCGAACTCAGCCAGAACGCTACGGATCTTGAGACACTCCTCCAGGTAGTTATCCTGGTTAGCGTCAATGACCTGGATGTATTCACCGCGGTAGAAGATGATAGAGTGGTTCTGGTTATCGGACTTGCCGTCACCCAGGATAGGGTTTCCGGAGAGCTGAATTCTGAACTTCGGCTTGCGCATTCCGTTGTCGAGGAGCTCACAGTGTCCATCAATCAAAGCCGAGTACAAGCGGGGCTCCTCACCCTCATTGGCAGGGGGTTCCTCGTCAAGGTAAGCGATTTGGAGATCAGGGTAGGCACGGAGAAGGAACTCGGTGTTTTCACGCTCTTCCTTGTTGAACTTGGCGTAACGTTGCATTGAGACACAGATCTTGAACTTGCGGCGCGCCATCCTTTCAAGCTCACGTTCGAGCTTCTCGGAGTTACCACCAAACATCTGGACGACCTCGGGGTTTTCGACACGGTAAAGGAGCTTGATGGCCCTGCTGTAGTTCATGAAACCGGAAATGGTTCTGTACAGGGTCTGAGAGCGCAGAGAGGACCAGATACGGGTACGGAGCGTGTATTCGGGGGCGGCAGACTTGAAACCGATGCAATAGAAGGGAAGGTCGTCGATCTTGCTCTTCTGCGCATCCTTCTCGTTCTTCTCGGGTTCGCCGTTGAGTTGTGAGGTCTCATCAGCCAGAATCTTTGTGTCCTTGACGAAGCAGTCCCACTCGTGGGGGTGGAGCTGTTTCAGGTATTCCAGGAGAGTAACGCGAGAGTACGGCTCATCCTCACGAATGATTTCACGCAACGACAGCAGAATCTTCTCTCCGTAATGGGGGATAAGGACAGTGAAAGTGGGCATGTTGTCAACCGGAAGAGGCTCAGGCATGGGGGTAGCGACCGACTGGGCAAAGAAGGAGATACGGCGCTCAGCCTCACTACCCGCGGGGAAGAACTCAGTCTTGAAGGACTGGTCTTCCTGCGAAACGAAGAAGGTAGGAGCCCGCAGGGTACGCTTGCCCTCCTGTTCGGAGGGAACCTGGTGGTAAAGCAACTTCTGGACGTGATCAATCGCCAGCAGATGCTCACGGTACATGGAGATGATGATGGCGTTCCAAACTTGGGAAATGAGCACCTTGGGCTTGTACTTGATCTCCATGTCGGTCGTAGCCAAGACCTTCGAATAGATACGCTTCGGTAGGCGAGAGAAGATGTTTCTCCAGGGCGACCAGATGGAGACACCCAGGTAGAAGGACCGAGCCACCGAGAAGATGGTGTTACAAATGACATACCACAGATAACTATCCAGGAAGAAAAGAGTCAAATCCATGAACATCATCAGACCCAGCAGAATCTGAGGCTGGGCGTGGCAAAGGCTGTTCGGGATGTATGTCACACCAGCACACTGATGGATACGCATCGGCGACAAGATACGCATGGGATCCTTCAATGACAGAGTCAGGAAGAAGTAAGACTCGACCAGCTTCGCACCGAAAACACAGATCCACAGACCATAAGACATCCACATGTCGTTGCCATTCAGGCGAGGGTAGCTCGCCGTGAATGTCTGACTGGCCACATATTGACGGCCGTGCTTCTTCAGGTAACTGCCGAACAGACCTCCAAGAGGCATGACGGAGAAAAAGAAGAACGTGGCCAGAGCAATGAAGAAGTGGACGATACCAATGATGAGGCAGATTGTCTCACTGAGAACATTGTTGAAACCGAAGACCACGACACCAGGAGCAAGATTGACAATGAAAACGGCGATAAGGAACATAAGACGCTTGCTGAGATGCTGAGCACCTGCCCACCGGCGAGGCACGTACATCCACTCACAGAGCGTTGCCAAGATCTGAATTAATCCAACCAGGGCACCACCAAAACCGACAGCAGACCAATACTTTGAACCAGCGGGCTTATTGTCCAGCTGCTGCTGGTAGTTCTTGGTATACAAGGTGGGGGCGTTATAAGCAGTGAAGAACCAGAAAGCACCCAGGTGAATAACCCAGATACGGTTGAAGTTGGTGATCATGTGGAACCAGGACCGAGTCTCTCTGTACGTCTTGAAGAATGCTTTCTTCCAGTCGACGTCCTTCAACTTGGTCCATCTTTCAGCCGGGGGGACATCGACAAGACGAGTCTTATCCTCGAATGAGATGCGTTCGATACCCTCGGGGTACCAGAAAAGCTGGTTCATATCATCGTATCCGATGATCTTCTCGTGATCACGCTCGCGGCGAACATACTTGCCATCCAAGATTTCGTAACCCTGGTCACGGCAGAACTGATAGAGGGGGGTAATGATCTCATTCAGGTAAGTGAATTCCTCCACCGGCTCAACCCGGCTCTGGCATTCAGGGGAGCTGTAGTAATCATCCGCACACTTGAAGATGAAGCAAATGCACTCAGGCATGTACCGGACCTGGTTAGCTTCACCCCAGCACAGCATGTACAGAGCCAATTGGCGCACACGATCATGCGGGGACATGCGGTTCATGCGGCTCTTCCACCTGTAAACAGCGGCTTCCAGGCTGTTGTCGCCTTCCATGGCCTCCAGGTTCTCCTCGACGTTTTCAGGGTTCTGCTGTGCTGCCGCCTTGGCCGCTTTGCGAGCTTTCCTGGTCTTCCGGTCTGCTTTGCCTAGCTTCATGTTGGCGAATCCCACGGCATCGTCCAAATCCAGATGGGCAGCAAAATACCAACGGCGGTAGTTGGCATTGTCACCACCAATGTAGTCTGCGTGCAGAGACAGAAGGGCTTGGTTGGGCGTCATTCTGGAGGCCCGGGAGTCCAACTGTGTCATCAGGTGGTCATACATGTTGCGCATGCTGTCCCTCTGGAAACCGAATTTGTTGACCAAGTCAATGAAGATATCTTCGATTTCCTCCTTGGAGACAGGGACCTGACCATCCGATGCCCAGGCTGGGTACGGCTCCCGAGAACGCGGTCCACCAGGAAGGGCGCTTCCGTAGTCCATGCCGTATACGGGTGTCGAAGCGCCAGATGATCGGTTGGCGCCATACGAGACCTGCGAAGATGGCGGCCGGTATCCGTTGTATCCACGACCAGCATACTGGCTGTCGGCATAACTGTTGTAACGTTCGTCTCCACGGCCATAGTAATCCATATCCGCAGCTCGAGCAGTCTCTGACCTCATGGTGAAATCGCTAAAGGTCTCCGAATCCTCCTCAGAATCTCCACGGCGTCTTCCGCGGGGGGCACCATTTCCTTGGTCATAGTACTGGTCACCGTAGTAGTCATCCTGGTGACCAGCATCGTAGTAACCACCTTCTTGGCCATATGCCTGACCTCCTTCTGCGTTGTAATAATTGCTGTTCAAGGGACAAACAATGGTCAATCAACAGAACAATCTGGGTACCGATCGTTGTTCAGAATGGGAGACGTACCCTCTATCATAATAGCTGTCACCGTAATCGTTAGGATCGTAATAAGCCTGGCCATGTTCGTCCTGGTAGTACGCATCGCCCCCATGCTCCTGGTGGCCGTAGCCATCCTCGTAATGCCCTGCTGGATAGCCTGACATGTTGAATAGCCACAATCACCGAACCGTTTAATAGCTTCTTCTAAACCATGAGTATCAATATGGCCTTACTAAGGGGTCGGATGGCGTTTTGAATGCAAGATCCTGCAACTTACATTAACAGTGGCCCATTAAAAATTACTCTGATCCGATTTCCAGTGAAATAAGCGTAAACAGATAGCACTTCTGGCGCAATGGATGTGTATGTTCAGAACGCGTCGAAGAATGACTTTTGATGCTGGCGCAGCGTTCTTTTTCTCTGAAGGCACCAGTGCCGGAGTGTGTTTCAAGGGCGTAAAACTAAACAACAATCTCAACTCGAAACGATCGTCTGCTTATTTTTTTCTCTTGCTCTGTAGGTCGACTTCCAGGGCGGGGCCGGTTGGTCGTCGCTGGAGGGACGTTCGATAAACGAATGGAAGGGTGAAGTGAAGTAAAGAACAAAACACGACTAGGGGGTGGGATTTCAAAAGCAAAAGCCTCCCGACTGCCGTTGGCTGAACCTGTCTCAGCCAAGAAAGGCCTCCCTCTTCTTTCCTCAAACGAAAGCAAGAAAGAAGGAAGGGAGGGAGGGAAGGTCGCTAGTGTTGCAGAAGATGAGTCGGGGGAAACGAAGTGTCGACGAAAAAAAAGAGCGAACAGGAACCGAAAGGAAAAAGAGGTCGAAGATCAAAAGAACGAAAAGAAGGAAGGAAGGAACTAAGAGACGGACGGGGAGGGAGGAGGAGGCTTGAGTTGGACGGTAAGTGGTGAAAAGGGAATTGATTGACCACCCAAGCAGGGAAGATAGGACTGGCGCTACTCCCTAGTAGGACCTGGGAAGAAGGGGAGAGGGGGGGCGGCGCTGGTGGTTATTTTGGGATCTGGATCTGCTAATTTACTTGCGCGCCCAGTCCTGTACCTGTATGCGATACTGGATTATTCCTAAAAAGGCCCGGGTGGTGTAAATATGGTAAGCAGATGGGCGCCCCTGCAGCCTATCACAAGCCCGCTTCACCCTCCCCCATTCATCCCACCTGCACCGGGCGGGGGTTACCATCGGTATTACCGCACGCAGTACCAAAACGCGCGTATCGTTACCCACTTTTCGCCGTCCAACTCTGTCCACAACAACCACAACCACAACCCCCCGACGCCTCAGCCCTCACCAATTCGGGCCTGGAGATTCTTTGACTTGTCGGTCGAATGAATTGCGGATTACTTGGCAGGGTCCTCGGTGATTGGCTTACTGCCGCCTGAGGTGGCTCATGCTGCCTACCAAACTGACCTACCAGATGTCGTGTCAAGGATTCGAGGTGCCTCAGATACCATGGATGATGGGCCACACAAGCTGGAGTCGTTATTTACTTTTTAGTAACGTGGAAAATCTACGTATCTCCCCTCTGTTTTCAGTCATCCCCTTACGCTTTTTGTTTTCTTTTTTTGCCATCACTCCGTATTCCAATATATGATATCAATCAAGATGGTCAATGGTGTAATTATTACCCACCCCTAAGGGGGGCAACCATCCTTTCCTCATTTTCAATAAAGGAAACAGTGACAGCTCGAGGCTCTAGGTAGGAGAAGGTTAAGCGGCGTGAACTTCCGGCACAACAAGATGGCCAGACGGCGTTGGTCCCGGAATCCATGGGAATCAAGACGGCCCCTGAAGCCCCGACCCACCGCCAGGTAATCCAGATGGCGCAATGAAACTGTATTCGTACGGTATGGCCTTTTGTGGTGTATCGTCGTGACAGCAATTTACCACAGTTGTTGTTTACGTTGCTTCCGAACGGCATGCAGGGATAATTTTCCTCATTCCTGAAGCCTGAAAACTGTCTCTCAACGACCGCCGCAGATATGGTTGTGGCCAGGGTAAAAATGCGTCGCTATGCAATTCATGGCGGTTGTTACCATCATGATCTTGTTTATTTATGTCCATGGAGGACTGTGAACCCCTCAAGGAGGAGGGGATGTTTGGTTCAACTTCTTTTTCGGGCTTCGCTTCGTTCCTGATCCAAGACCTGGCACCCATGGTTGCCCTATTGTATCTTGGTGTGTCAGCATAATCAGCTCGTCGCTGTAACAAAGTAAACTACTACTTTGTACAACTGCCCCATATTCGATGCCAATGTAAGCATTGCTTGCTGGAGAAAATAGACTATAGATCATCCATACAGGGCATTACATCCGTCAAGCGACATTGATCCAGTGGAGGTAATATCGGATGCTCTGGAACTCCATACTTACATCCACGCTGCGGTTTCATTTTCAATCGAGCGTGAAGACTTTGCACGACTGAAAATTCCATTTGCATCTTTTATTCGCCGCTGGATTTGCTACCTATTGACAATACGTAACCTGGTAGTTCGAAAACAAACGAGTAGCGTCAGTCGATTTGCCACGGTGGGAAGCTATATCACTGCTAGCCACTTGAGAAGCTCCTCCGAACCATAACCGCTGATTAAGGTAGGTAGGTAGGTAGGTAACATTTCCATTTTTACTTTTTTCCAATTATATCTTCCCCCCTTGCCACCAATAGTTCATACCCGGCGGCTATCTCACATTGACGGGTAATCGGCCCCTACACAGTAGTACTAGAGGACGGGGTTCTCCATCCAACTATCAAATCAAGGTGCTATTCTTGTGGTTGACCCGATGAACCCGCCTCGCGAGAGTGGATGCAAACGGGTACTACTTACACAGTGAGGGTAGATCAAACTTTATATAGAGTGGAAGAAATAGACGCATGACATGGTGGCTTTATCGGAGGTGGCAATACGATCTCTTGGGTTACTCAAGTGGGCGGGTGTTCATTCAAGGTTAATGGAATACATCTCCATTAGCAGAGAACCTGCAGGAATGCAGAGTATGGGGTTATGCAGAGGATTGTTTTCCATTCCCGAGGACAGTCAACAACAATAGGAAGAAGGCATAACATACTTGACGTCCCAGCCACAAGAAGCCATTCATCCATTCAACAGTGGTTGCTTTACATGCAGTAGTAAACTATGCCGGGTGGTTCCGCTCATTGGTTTGATTCATAGACAGGTCCTGGGAGAATAAGGTGGATTCCTGATAAGACCTGGCCCTTGGGGAGTTAGGCACCTCGAGTCAGGAATCCCAATATCATACTAGATCTATTTAATCCAGCTGCGAATGAACGACAGACCCTGATGCCTTCTTTTGCTTGCTTCTGCGCCGTCTGATAGACGAGATCCCGTCAGCAGCAAAAGTAGTGATACCCGTATGAACAAACACATGGGAAGAACTGAAAGTTACCTTACACGGATACCTGTCAGCCACATTACCTGCATGATAACTGCGTAACGCAACTCAGCAGACCATGCGTTGACACCACATAAGCAAGTGACCCGTTTTTTCCCAGATAATAATGTAAGCATCAAACCACTAAGATTGAAGTGTTCGAGGCAAGCGAAACCCCACCTACACATTAGACCCAACTTTGAGCCTTGGTCGAAGTGGCTGTATTCTTGCTTTTCTTTCGGTGCCTTCTTTGCTTCCTTGAAGGACTTCCGACAATATCTCGTTTCTGATTGGCAAGCTAAGGTTATCTTTGGGCCTTCCCGGAAATCGTAAGAGATAATCAGGCTAGATGATCGACAAGACAATGTGGTCTGCCTTCTTCCCAGCCTTTTTTTCAACTACGGGAAGGCTGGAAGAGCATTGCGGTGGGTACACACTAAGCGCTTAGCAGCCGACTACTGTATCTGCTTCATCTTAGACATTTTTCTCGCTTGTCGCCGGGAAAGCAGTGCTCCGGGCGGTGTTGAGAGGGGAAGGGTTCTAGAAGGATAGACTGGTTTCTTGTGTGGGAATGATTGCTGAACGTGAAGCTTATACATCCACCTAGTTATCTGCTGTCTACGCAACATGCCGATACTTGAACGATAGAGTCGGCTCCCAAATTAGACTCGGGCGAGCATCACCCCATAGAGGCCACTTTTTTTCTTAAAACTTTTTCCGCTATGATGCAGGTCAAAAGCGTGCTCTTCTGAAAATTGTTTCCGAAATCTGTCGGTGACATGAATAAACACTGCACCGAGATCGAAGGGCAACCAAGCAACCCCCGGAGCCACGGTTCCGGCTACCGCTGCACCACCGGTTGAGGTTCTCACAATATGTGTGTCTCATTTATTCTGCTACTGGGTTCCTTGGTTCCCCCTTCTCATGTGGATAAATGTCTACGTTTATAGATTGACTTTCCGTAGTTCTATAACAAATTGATCTCTGCTATGGGCAGTACTTTTGACACATATTGAAAATAGTTTCCGGCCATGCTATGCCGGTGAACCATAGACCAGCTCTCTATATATAAATATAGATAAATCTCTGCCCTTGCAGGTGAAAATCAGGAACACGGTCCTTGTCCGAACCCCTCATGAGTCTACTGCTATTCTAAGTAATCGCAACCCTACATGGGTGGTTGAATATGGCCAACAAACTTTTAGGAGTCCCAATTGGCAAATATCAGAACACCACCATGCAAACGAGTGAGCCTGACGCCTCCATAAGACCATGGCGTCTCTCAGGCACAGCCATGCGATTGGCATTCAACGGATATTACTTGCTTATGTTGCATATCTAATTGACTTCGGGCCATGCAATGATGGGGGGTTGGTGAACCGCCAGGATCCCAGCCGTTCAACCTCAATACAGCGAACAAATGCAGCGATTGATCCATCATCCATCTTACTACGGATACTCTGTAATAATCTACTGTGCTTACTGTGGAGCAAGATACTTACTGTTGTAGGATTAGGACACCTTTCCAATACAGGTTTCATAAAAAGGAAATAAAACACCTGAACCAATCCTTAAACGGAAACTCTGTGGGGCTGGGACATGCGCAACCGGGGAACTGTCCAATCGGACCCGTCCGCCCGACCAAGAGGCCAACGGGTGGCGATTTCTTAACGCCGGACAACTCTCGACTGGCTGAAAGGGCCCGGACTGGTCCAAAAGGACGACGACGTGGAACTCTTGTCTGGGAAGAGGGAAAAAAGGGGGTGTGTGGTTTCAGGTTCCATTTGGCCCGACCTAGAACGATCCCCGGCACCACCACCATTTTATCAACCTCCATTTATTGTGCCAATCAGCAAGTTGGTTCTGATTCCTCTTTCGTTTTTACAAAGTAAACACACATCAGGTTTTGTAAATTTGTATCTTTTGTTTCGACTCATTTTACACCGCTTGGTTTCTGTTAGCCGATGGATAAGTACTAGGTAGTTTATAGGGTTGGGTTATTATTATCTTCCTCATTAAATAATTATTAATGATCGCTAATGGACATGGACTCCTTATCCGCTTCGGTACTAAGATAGATACTGACTGGATACTATCTATATCAATCAGTCAATAATGCTGGCTGGACAGGGGGAGTCTCGACTTCCACAGAAGTGAGTAGATACTCGGTATCTCCTGAATAATCATGAAATAATTCTGTCGACGGAAAAAGGAGCGATCAGCATCAGACACTGCACGGTCGGTCATGTGCATAACTAACTACAGTCGCTAATGTAGAGAGAGAAGAAGAGAGAGGAGGTTGGATACTGCTACATATCCTGTCCCGTGCTGTCCTGCCACCGACGGTCTCAGTAGGTACAGATGCTAGCAGCCTAGCATCGCCACACCGATATACCACGCTAACTATGTACATCTGCAACTCGATTTCTTGAAACTCGAGATCGGCATGTGTCGAAGCAACATCGGGATCCAGAAGCACGGCAAGTCACAAAGTTTGTTTGGCTGGGAGTGGGGTGATTAGCAACCTTGCTTGCGCACAGCTGTTCTGTCTGTCTGATCTGCACGGTTGGGATGTTGTAGGTAGATATTTTGTAGCTTCTCTCCGCATTCGGTTATTCAACTTGTTTACAGTGTGCTGTGTAGCTACGCAACTACCTCCGCACTTATGGAGTACTTGTGGCTCTTGTGGGTGGTATGATATGCACCTGCGTTTGGTAGGTTCAGTTGCGTTGCACGGGTGGAGGCAACGGTATCCCCAAAGCTTGATTTCATGTACACCGTATGCATTTATCGGGTTCTGCGTTGGACTGTGCGATCCTGCTGTGGGCAACTCTTTACCTCATGTCTTTAGACCTGATGGATGCAGTGCGACATGGGTTGTTGTGCATGTGGATGGTTGGTCTCGGTTTGTCTGCTTTTGGTTCGTTCCGTACCTCTCGTGTGCCATATGATGTGGTTGTGCTTGGTTTGGCTGGGTTGGACATTTCGGCGTAATGGCTTTGAGACGCCATCCGGTATATGTATCGGGTATATGCTTGGGAGCTTGACATGTCCTTCGGTTGATTGAGCACTCCTTCGACCATTTAATGCTATGTGGCTGGTGAGTGTAAATGCTCTCTTGCTCGATGATATATAGTATACCCGTGGGTATGTAGTAGTGTATGCAAGCCACTATCATCCGGGCTTTGCGGTATGGTCTTCTATGCATATGACAGTGTCTCCAGCTCTGTTCTGCCATTTTAAATGTGAGCTACTAGTAGTACATGCTTTTGGACGAGTAATCCCTGCCATGCACTTCGGTCCTGCCATGGTTGTTTTGTTCACCCCGTTAGACTCGGTGCGTCCGATCTGTGTCCCTACTCTCTGCATCCGTGTTTTATATATGCAGCGGCTACGGTGACGCTGGTGATATCATCGTTTGTCCTGGTGACCAATGTTTCACATGTCTAGTGGGTTTATGCCTGTTGCTATTGCTGTGTGACGGCGTCGTTGTCCACGGTTGAAAGACTATGTTTGGATACGTTTCTATGCTGCCCACCAGGATGTTGTACTTCTCTATTCGCTTCACGTCGGTACTGCTGGCTACTAGTAGTACCGCTATATGGCTATTCATTGGTACAGGCAAGTGTCTGGTCGTGTGTATAGCTTGCGGGTGACGATGTATATATTGGTCGACTACAGAGGCGGATGTTACCCCATCAACATAATCACAGGCAGTTAAGCTATAGGATTCGGCCACAGCATGTATAGGATTTAACGATAGTGAGTACATAGACACCACCAATCAACCGGTAATATAGAAGTAGACAACCTGTCTACATGACCACTGACAGGCATACGGAATGGTTGTTCATGATCTACAAAATATGTTTAGGCTCATAGGCCAAGAAGTTGAGCACTAAATATATAACAAGCCCGGGTGGTCTAGTGGTATGATTCTCGCTTAGGGATACAAACCCAAGCATATCTGCGAGAGGTCCCGCGTTCGATCCGCGGCTCGGGCCTTGTCTTCATCTTTTTGCTTTTATTTTTCTTCCTCGTTCATCAAGTAGACAATCATTTCGTATCAGTAGGACTTCAACTTACGACATGAGACGAACAAAGTTCCTGGCTCTCTGGTAACCACAGCATCCCGCATCCGCCATGGAACCTTGAACTCAATCCCTGCCAGCAGGCAATCCCGTGGTAGGCGAACCAAGTCCCGAGGTTGCCGTGCCAACCACTTCTCTTTGCCCATCCATCAACATTATCTAGACTACCTGCATAGATATATCCAGCACCAGCTCATACGCAGGTACATTACACCCACATCTGCAAGCCCGCAGACACCACATACACCAAGCCCCAACATTCCAGCAGGTGCAGTCTGACATCTCACATCCTGTCCTGCAGGAGTGGGAGGAGCAAAAGAGGAGCCCTTGCTCGTACCACACCAGCAGCAGCAGCCGCCGCAACGAACAAGAAGACAAGATAAGACCACAATGGCTCGACTCAACCCCTCTAGCCCCACGAAGCCAGCCAAGCTCCAAGAGCGCCGAACACCACCCGCGCAGAGGAATCTCAACCGCACAGCGACCATCAAGCGGGACTCCAGAGACAACAAATACACCGCGACAGCCAAGGCCAAGACAGTAGAACAATGGGCAGCCGCCGACGAGACATGGACAAAGAGCCGATACTCCGCGAGCACGCCAGCGATCGAAGAACCGTCGCAAAGGAAGAATAACAACAGACTACAAAGATCGGGGACTGTTTCTAGTGGGGTATTCGATATCTTTTCGGACAATGGGGATGAGCAGAGTGAAACGGAGGACAGCAGTTTCTCGTCGACTCGGTCTTTGATGTCGAATGAGGGACGCACTACGGATCCTTTGAAGCTCTCGCAGATCAATTCTTTGTTGCTTCCATTGTCGCAGCAGTCGCGGAATAATAGGCCGCCGCGTAAGTCGGTGGGGTATAATTATGACAAGGAAAATGATCCTATCGACGATGAGGCAGAGGAGGCAGATGAGAGTTCGGGTCTCTCTCGAAACTCGTCTACTGCTTCGAACCGAGCGCCCACGCGTAATACTAACAGAGAAGTGCAGCCGCGGGGCAGGTCTCGGACGAGGTATATGGGATACCGCCGGGAGGAGACAGAGTCTGAGGCTGAAGAAAGCGAAGAGAATAATGGCTTTGACTCAATGGATGATTTCATTGTCAGCGACAACGAAGAAATCAGCTACCATGAGACGTCCGACGATGAAAGCATCGAAGAAGAACAAGAAGAGAAACAGCCAACTCCTTCGCCGCCCAGGACTAGAAAGAGACTGCTTAGAGGGAGACGACCCCGTCCAGAAATAGAGCCAGAGACAACACCTCAGGATTCTCGGCGTGAAAGCCTCGATTTAGAGCCTTCAGTGCCTGCTACGATGACAATGGAGGTTCCTAAGCTAGAGGCAAAGCCCAAGAGATTGTTTCAAAGCGAGTTGGAAATATCCGAGAAGCTGAACAAGCTGAAGTTGGACAATAAAGACATAGAGCCCCAACTGGACGAGAAGAGCACTTATGAGTGAGTTTTGATGGAGACCCCCAGCCACCCATATATGTACTAACACCATGTAGCAGTATCGAAGAAGTAGACGCCCCCACCAAGAAGCTCCCATCAAGGGATAGTGTTAAACTGGAGACGCCCCCATCCAGTCCAACAAAGGGACGCAGTCTACGATCTCCAACCAAGCTGAAGGCCCACATACCACCAACACCACACCGAGAAAGCGTCGACGCATTCTGGAGCCAGGAAAACACTAACAACTGGATCGACCAGCACTCTCCGTGCAAGATCGACGATCTACTGCGCGAATTTGACGACTCCGACTCGGATGATGAGTTCAGCGACAGGGAGATTATGCCCAAGACCGCAACACCGAAGACGACGACCAAGTCCTCGACAAGAACACCCAGCAAGACAGCAATGAAAAAGGCCGAAGCAGAGCAGAGAAAGCTCGAGCGGGAGCGCGCAAAGGCATTCATGGAGAACAGACAAGCCATGGCCGAGCAATTCTTCAAAGTCCTCGACGACACCGTAACCGACGGCCGACTCTCAAGAATGACCGCCTCGACAGGAGGCGTGATCATCGAATGGAAAAAGCGACTCCAAACGACCGCCGGCAGAGCATCCTGGAAATGTGTTACCCCGTCACCGAAGAAGGGAGGAGGGCCGGCCATGCCACCGCAGCATTATGCCACCATCGAATTAGCAGCAAAGGTAGTCGACTGCGAAGAACGCATTATCAAGACGGTCGCTCACGAGTTCTGTCATCTGGCGAACTACATGATCTCAGGCGTGCATGATAACCCCCATGGGGCAAGCTTTAAGGCATGGGGTCGCAAGTGCAAGGAAGCAATGAAGAACCATCCTGTCTATGGTGGGAAAGTCGAGGTCTCGATCAAGCACGACTACGCTATCGACTATAAGTACGTGTGGCGCTGCGTGCACTGCAACCTAGACTATGGACGTCACTCGAAGAGTATTGATCCCAAGAGACATCGATGCCGATGCCAGGGCGTCTTGCAGCAGATCCAACCCAAGGTGAGGAATGTGTCGCCATTGAAGAAGTCGGTGAACGCGCCAACACCGAGTGTTAGGGGTTTGTTGAATGAGGTGGGCCGCGTGTTAAATGAGACGCAGAGGCAGACGTAACCAGAGATACTTGGGGATGAACTTGTGGATGATGATCTAGGAGGTATGATATTTGATGTATGTCATGACTGACGGTTGAATGATTTGTTATTAGCGATCATGTACATACATACAGCTTTTCGTTTAGTTCTTCTTTTCCCCTCTAGGTGTACAAACAGACCAATCAAGATACATACACCGATTACCGTATTACTCTTATATGTTTGTATAGTGATCCTTTGATTTTATCTAACCTATCTAAGTAACTACCTAGTACATACGCATAATGGTATCATTCCTCCTCCTCCACCAAACATTAAAAGACAACAAAGACCCCTCCCTACCCAAACAAATCCCAATCGACAACAACAAACCCATCTTCATCACCAACCAACCCCTCCACACACCCCCCAACAACGCCCTCCTCGACCCTCAACCCATCCTCATCCCCCCTCTCCAAAAACTCCTTAACAGGCACATTCCCCCAAACCACCAAATCACTCCCCTGCTCCTCCAACCTCACCACCACAAATCGACAAAGCACCCCATCCTTCGCAACTGGATTCGCCGACCCCAACGAGACACTCCCCGTGTATACCCTCCCTCCCCGCCATTGGTCCCGATGAGGCACGCTCATGATAGGAGTGCGGAATTGAATAGTATCTTTGCTGACATTGTCACTGTCATGGACATCGAGAATGTGGTAGAGGATGGCGGCTTTATCGAGAGTTTCTCTATCTTGAATCTGGGTGGTGATGCCGCCGGTGGCAGAAGCAAATAGATCACTATGCTTAGATAATGTTTCCTGACTTTTGCTGTCGGGGACGTATTCGTTTATTTCGTAGATGAGGGTCGAGAGGGTTGTCGGGGAGAGGTAGAGTTCTTGGTGGTCGGGGATTTGGCGGAGGTTACTATTCCTTCTTATCAGTATTTGAGGGTTTGGTTGTGGAGAGGAGAGAGGGAAAGGGAAGAAGATTTACCTGGCATCTAACCAGCCTTTGGGGATGAGGCCTTTGATGGCGCCGCCGTAGAGGGGTTGCGAGGTGTATGTTGTTGTTGCTGTTGTTGAGGTCATGGTGGGATGGATGGATGGATGGATGATGCTATGGAAATGAGTGAATGGGATGTGTGGTGTGGTGGTGGTGGTGGTGGTATGGTGTGGTTCGGTGAGAGATGGGCGATGGTTCTTTCTTTGTAGGCGGATGTAATTCTTTGTAGTAGTAATGGAAAGGAGATGTATGGGATGATTTAGAGTATGTTGTGATATGGAGGAGAGGAAAAGCTGAGCTGCGCGGAGCGGAACTTTGATGGTGGGGGCGGGGTGTTCGGGTGGCCGGCCGAGGAACAATTATAGTAGTAGCTTCAAGTAATGAAGACTTCACACGTCACACATTGATGATGATTCTAAGATTCTACCGTGGATGAGGTCCGTTCCAGATGACTGAGAGGGAGAGAGAGAGAGAGAGAGAGAGAGAGAGAGAGAGAGAGATAGAGTACGTGCTTTGCATTACCTTGATCTTATATTAACCTGATCCTAAGTATTTCATCCTCGACTGATCGGATCTTGCAAAATATGTATCTGCTACATGAGTCCCCATCTACTTTTACGCATATTGGCAATCTCAGCCAAGTATTCTACAATCATGGAGCTATGATAAAGATAGCAGCAGAACAGTTAAGCAAAATGGAATGAGATGGAAACAATATATTGAATAAGATGACTAGGTTTCATGAAGCTTGTAGTATTGGATCCCCGGGGATACTTGAATCTAAGCTCAGCAGTAGTCTCGAGAATGATTCAATTTGTTGTATCCTAATCTCAAGCTCCTATCTTCGATGAATATCTTCATAAAACACCAGCAAATCAACATCCTAAAGAAGTAATAACAATCTGACCTGCCAACAAGCAGCGACAACTAATGCAGTGGTATCAAGTATAAACCAAGCCCTACATATCAAGCAGCTCCTCAATATACTCGTCCAACGCAATCATCCGAAATCGGTTCCCCCATTTCGCCCGGAATTCCTTCCGGCGATAGGCATAGCTCGTCACTTGACTGAAGCTCACCAGCTCCACGGCCCAGCCCCGGCTCAGCGCCCGCTCTACCATCTTCATAAACCCGCCCGAGAATTCGGCTTCCGCCGCGTCTCCCGTGGCTAACACGATGGTTGCCGGTTCGTCCGTGTCTAGCAAACTTTCGAGAATCTTCAGATGCAGAATTTCGTCCACACCCTGCTCGACCCAGCGTTCCTCTGGTGCTTCGTTCGTTTCTGAACCGCTACCAGGGTCGTGAGCGCCAGCTCGAGGATTCTTGCGGAATCGCATTTGGCGAGGAGTCATATGCTTGACCTTGTGGACCCGGTCGAGAATGTTGGCTTCGTAACCAAGTTGTTCGCCTTCAGTGATGGCTGCAAATCGATCCGAGCCCACCAAGACTCGTTTGGCGGTGGGCCGGCCACGCTCGAGGATTAGGGAGAAGTTCTGGAATGACAAAGGCAATCGACGGATCCGCGTTTTCACCGGAATTTTGCGCGATAGCTTCACCGTATCGTGAAACCCAACCATAATCTGGCCCAGTTAGTACAAACACGCGACTGTTGTCAGGTCATACATACATTAGACATGTCAACAAAGACATGGATGGGGCGGCGTGTAACGTCCGTCTTTTTAGGATTCAAAGGCCGTCCAACCTGGGTTACGGCATCTGCATAGTCGGGGAAGTTCTTCAAAAGCTTAGTCAAGAGACCAATCCTCCGATCAGCCGTAGATTTGTATGCGACAGGCTGTACGCGTAGCGTGCCAGAGCTGTGAGGGTTCTTCACAGTCTTCGAGGGAGGTGTTTCTACAGACTCATCGTAGGAGGAAGGCGGCGTCTCATATGGATCACACATGGCACCCGCCGTGCCGACCTGCGGAGGGACCAGCGACGGAGTGCCTCCACTCTTAGGCAGAGGGGGATCGAAAACGCTGAGGTTGCCATCGGACTCGGCTTCCACAGCGCTCTCCGATGTGCAAGACTCATCTGCATGCTTACTCAGTGTAGCATCTGATTTATTAGGAGCTCGTTTCCCGGCTGCGGTCTTGGCCTGCAAGTTGCGGGACTTGGAGACACCGGAGACAGGTATAGGCTTTGACGGGGTGCGAGGAAGCACCTCATCCAAGTCTGCGGAGTCGACATGGTTACTCAAAGGTCGTTTGAGAATCTCGATACGTTTAGGCGATTGTGGCGTGGGAGTAGGCGTGTTCCGCTGGATATCACACGGTTCAACTGGTGGGCGAATGGCCGAGATGCCAGTACTGCCTAAAAGCTCCCAGAGAGAACCAAAGTCTCCTAGCTTCGGAGGGGCTCCTTCACCAGGCCTTACCTCGCGCATATCATTAGAGGAAGAGGAGCCATCGTTGTTGTTTGTCTCCCAAGTAGGCCGAGCAATTGAGGCGGACTCCGGGTGGCGATAAGGAACCGATGAGCTACCAGTGCCGTAGGTCGGGGTACGGAGGAGATTGATCACCGGAGTGAAATCCCAATTTGAAGCTGATTCAAACGATGATGGCATTACAGGTATGAGGGCGAAATTGGGGTGCAATGATGGTGATGTGTGCCCGGCAGTAGCTGGAGCAGTGATTGATAAGGCGAGCGGGGTTGCCTCCAGAGATAATCACAAACCGACGGGCTCGCAGAGAACGTCAAGCACAAACGAGAAACGGTAGATCAAAATCGCAAAGAAAAACAGAGCAAATAGATATAGAGCCGATCAACATGGTGGTCCAGCAGACCTAACGAGAGAGAGTGTTGGCGCCAAACGCATTGGAAGGACGAAGAGAGGGAGAGCGTCAGGCAGGACAACAGGCAGACTCGGCCTGAAGGGACTCGCCGCGTGGCGGTGAACAGCTGGCCGGGTTTCTGCTGATAGTCACCGCTTGCTGTTTACACCGCAAAAACAAAGCTATACTGCTTTCAATCTAGCTCATTTTCGGGGCTCGCTTGAACATAATTCCGAGAACATTCTTGCGCTAACCCCATCGAGCTACATGCGATCATGCAGACGTCATGACTAGGGGCACTCCCGAAGAGGAAAGTCTGGACCAGATCGGCGAGTTCTGGCGCCATCCGTTTTCTTGACCTTGTACTTACTAGTACTCCATACAATGTGAATAAACCCAGATATCGTCATGGCCCGATGACGCGCATGCAAGATCCGGCGTCCTGATCGAAACCGGGGTACCTCCCCTCATGATGACGTTGATTCGCTGGTATCTCTTCCACAACTGCTTCCCCCCGGTTTCACTGGCTGTGTTCACATTCATCGATGGCGTAGCCATTCACTGCCAGGATTGTCGACGTCATGGAGCAACTTGAGGCCTCACAAAAACTTATATAAAGACTCTTTGGCACCGTCGAAGTCTTTCTCATCCATCAACAATTCAATCATCTACAAATCGCAATCCAATCCAAATCTCAACCACTTTCCAACACTTTTCAAACCTCTTCATCAACCACTCAATCAACATGTCTGACTCTGGTCGCAAGGATTTCTCCACCAGTATGTCTCCTCTTCCTGTGTTCAAGCCCCCCCGCCCCGCTGGCAGCTGGCTTGCGTGATGCTTACCCTTTTTCTGCAGAGGCTAAGGAGGAGATGACTCCTGATTCCGCCAAGTCCACTCAGGACAAGGTTAAGGAGACCGTCACCGACACCGGTGACCGTATCGCCCGCGGCTTCCAGTCCGACGACAGCAAGTCCGGTCCCCAGGAGGCTTTTGACAAGACTCAGCGTTCCCACGACAACAACGCCCACGGCGGTGCTACCAGCTCGATGTCAGTATTCACCTGATCCACTATGCAGTCGCTATAAAAGCATTTGACTAACAGACTTGTAGTGGCGACAAGATCAAGAACGCCGTTGGCCTGGGTGACAACTAAGTGCACGCCACATCCTGATTACAATCGATCGACGAGTAATGACCAACAACAATATCCCTCTGTGATGCATGAATTTCGGAGAACGATGGGTTGGCGGCTCACGGCAGATTGTTCTTTTCATGATTTATGAGTTTTGACGATACCACACTTTGATAGTATCACGTCTCACTAGCTCAATACTAGTCGAATATTTGATAACTCCCCAAGTTCTATATCAGTAGCGTAGTGTTCACTTCTCGCCTAGCTTCTCGAACATTGTGTCTCGTTGCTGAGTGAGTGTCTCGAGTTCCTGCTCTAGCTCCTTGTATTGCACCCGAGCACCAGGCACGTCTTTTGGCAGATCATGGAATTTTTGGACCCTCTCCACTAGTGTTTTGGTGCTCTCCAGCATCCTAATCACGCCCTGCTCCTCCGCAATGACTTCTGCGAGCGTAGGTCCCTTACTTTTACTCCTCTGTAGGGAGGCAATCCGATCTTGATACTCGCCGGCTTTGGCGTTGAGCATTTTGGTCTCTCTTGTCCATTCCGCAGTTAGCGCTGGGAGATTGGCCGGTGTTTCATACACCTCGTTGGTCTTAAGGTCTAAAAGCTGTTCTCGCAGCGTAGCCAGCTCCCTTTCTAAGTAGTCATGTAGCGCTTGTACTTTACTCATCTGCTGCTGCGCATTGAATTCCTCCACCGTGAGCTCAATGATTGATTGGCCCAGGTCTCTCGTATTTGTGCCCAAAGCTCCCAGTACTGCAGTTGTCTCTGCCAGGTCGTCCAGGTGTCGTCTGCCATTGTCGTCAAGACTATGTTCCACCTCATCCAGTATTTCTACTTTCTGCTTTTCCTCACCCTCCTCTCGAACTTTGAAGCTCTCAACCGCCTGCTCGCGAGCCTGGTGGAGAATGGTGGCCTCCTCATCCGCAGTATCATTGGCAGCGGCTAGTGCCAAGAGGGTGCGCAGAGTATCTTCATTTCGCTCGAAACTGGGAACCGGGTTCGGTGCGTACTGACGACTGAGCCATGCATTGACATAGGCCCAATCTTTGGCCTGGATGGCTGCTTGGCGCGCTTTGGCGGGGGAGAGGAGGGGGCTATCCATGGCAATCGATCGTGTTGTTGGGTTTTAATCGGATATTCAAGAGCTGATTAGCCATGTAATGATCTGAAAATTGAGAAACTGGTGCTTTTGCAAGATTGCGGATGGAGAAAAAGGAGAGGTCCGAAGGTTGATTCAGGTACAGGGACGGATCAACAACCCGGCCGGGGAAAGCGCTGCGCCGCTTCCCGCCTCCGGCCTCCGCTTCAGTCCAGCGGGACACTCGCAGCGACCACCCGGCCAGATAGCTCGACTAGGCCAACAGTCCCACGATGGCGAGCTACTTCCCTCCAAACGGAGTCATCTCCAGCCATGGCTCTACTCGAGCATCTTCACCAGCTTCGTCTCCGCTTTCACCCCCGGTACACCAGCGATCCAATGCCTTGTCCAACCGACTGACAAGTGTACTTTCGGCCTCCTATGCGGATTCGGACATTCGCGATGCGCTGGAGACACTCAGCCTCAGGGGGATACACAATACGGCAGAAGTTCGAAGACAGTTGCGCTTGGATGTTCAGAAGGAAGTCGTCGATAGCAATGCCGAGATCGTGCGGGATTTCGGGCTCGTTGCGGAGGTAAGATGCGCCTTTGCTGAGAGATCTAATGGTTGCTAACTTGGCGTGCTGTAGCAATTGAAACGGATAGGAAATGTAATCACGAATCTTAACCAGACGTGCGATGAGATGCGAAAGCACATTGTCTCTGCCAGACAGGAAACAACACCAGTGCTCGAGGAAGCGTCGGCTCTGATGAAACAGAGAAAAGAGGCAGAGACCAAACAGGAGCTGCTGGAAGCTTTCACCCAACACTTCATCGTCCCCGATGAGGACTTGCTGATCCTGACGCACGCCGAGGAGCCTATCGATGACCATTTTTTCGAGATTCTCGCCAGAGTCAAACAGGTCTACCGGGACTGCGAAGCATTACTCGGGGGTGAAAACGAGCGACTGGGCCTAGAACTTATGGAAAAGAGCTCTAGAAGTCTCAATTCCGCCTACCAGAAACTCTACAGGTGGATACAGAAGGAGTTCAGATCTCTCAACCTTGAAGACCCTCGCATCAGTAGCTCTATCAGACGTGTCCTGCGAGTGCTAGCGGAGCGGCCAAGTTTGTTCCACAGCTGTCTGGATTTCTTCGCAGAGGCCCGAGACTATGTCCTCTCCGATGCCTTCCAGTACGCCCTTACCGATGCCGTCTCTGGCACGACGGGTGATACCAACGTGAAGCCAATCGAGTTCTCTGCCCACGACCCCCTTCGGTACATCGGAGACATGCTGGCCTGGGTGCATTCCACCACCGTCTCCGAACGCGAGGCACTCGAGGCCCTTTTCGTCGCCGACGGCGAAGAGCTTGCTAAAGGCATCCAAGCCGGCCTAAGCAGCGAACCATGGTCCCGTATCGACGAAGACAAGGAAGTGTCTTTCGACGGACAAAAGGCTCTCAGCGACCTAGTTAATCGCGACCTCATCGGTGTCTCCCGAGCCCTGCGCCAGCGCGTCGAGCTAGTCATCCAAGGCCACGACGACCCCGTCACCTGCTACAAGGTAGTCAACCTGCTATCCTTCTACCAAACGACCTTCAGCAAACTCCTCGGCCCTCAATCCAACCTCGCCGAGCTCCTCGAGACCCTCGAAAAGTTCACCTTCAAGCACTTCGAGACCCTCATGCACGACGAAGTCAACAACATCTCAACAGATCACTCAGCCCTCACACCTCCAGCAGATCTCTCCGCACCCCAATTCCTCCAAGACGCCCTGGAAGTCCTCACCTCTTTGATGAAAACCCACGAGGCCTCCTACGGCGCCGACCCCATCCCCACCCCCGGCCCCAAAACCACATCATCATCACCACCACCCAAGGACACCAACTCCGAAAACAAATTCACACCCGTCCTCCACTCCGCCCTCGAACCCTTCCTCGACCTCGCCAAATCCTCTGCCGCAGACCTCCCCTCCCACACCACCCAAACCATCTACCTAACCAACATCCACCTCACCGTCCGCACAACCATCACCCCCTACCCCTTCGCCAGCACCACCCACCTGTCCCCGATCCAAACAGCCCTCTCTACCCTCCGCACAGACCTCCTCGATATCCAACACCGCTACCTCCTCACCTCCTCGGGTCTCCAGACCCTCCTTGCAGCCCTGGAACCGTTCTCCCCTCAACAACCAACATCCACAGACCAACAGAAGCCCAAACCAAATATATCAGACATCCTGACCCTCCCGGCCTTCCAGCCTCAGGCACTTATCAATATCAGCCAGCAATTGGACGACTTCCTCCCGAGCGCGCTTATGGATGCTACGGACAACTTGAAGCGCGTGGCCAGCGCGACGTTCGTGAAGAGTGTCACGGAGGATGCGGTCGAGGCGTTCTGTCGGGACTTTGAGTTTGTGGAGGGAATGGTTATTGCGGCGGATAATGAGGCAAGGGGGGTGGATGTTGGTGAGAAGGCGGTGGAGGAGGGAGGGGAGGATGAGGAGGGACTAGAGGAGGGGGGATTGAGGAGGTTGTTCCCTAGGACGACGGGGGAGATTCGGGTTTTGTTGAGTTGATTTCACTTCTTATGAGAATATCATTCAATTCATGCAGTGGCTAAGTAGGTAGAAGGTTGGGGTAGTGGGTGTATATAGTACGCTATGTGTGTGTATTGTTCTTTGATAGCATTTGTTTGTTCGTTTGTATGTGGACTCTAGCTTATATGGTATTTTGTATGAATATAGATGATTGCTAGTAGATGCTGCAGCAACTCTAGACCTGTCGAATCATAATACCATACGGATCACGATCCTTCTCACTAACATCCACAACACACTCCGCATCCTCAAAGACGTCCTTCAGCTCCGCACCACCCTTCAAACCCTCCTTTCTCTGCGCCTCCCACTCCTTCTTCACCGCATCTGCCAACTTCTCCCGCATCACTGCACGCAGATACCCGCGCTCCGTATTCGAATGCGCCAGCGCAACCACAACCGACCCACGCTCCACGGCCGCCAACGCCTCATGGTGACTCAACTCGCCAGTGAAAAGCAGATCGGGGATCTTCCCGCCCGTGCCCTTCAGTAGGATACTCGACCCGGAGCCGGGACATACGCCGATGGTGCGGATCTTCAGGTCCTCAACCGAGGCGGTCTGCGGAATAGCGATGGGGATACCGCCGGGATATCCAACGCCCTGGGCGATGCGGTCCACGACGGCAGTCAGGGGCTGGGGCTCGTCGAAGGTGACGATGCGGCCCATTCCCGCTGAGTCCATGCCCTCGGGCACTGGGGGCGGAGAGGGGATGATTGTGGTTCGGACATGGGGGACGGGAGTCGCGGGGGAAGCAGGCTGTGGGTCGGGGAAGGTGGCGTGGGAGTAGTGTGTTGAGGAGGATTTCTGGATAGTGGGCTTGGTGGTGGTTGTTGGGGCGATGGCGCCGGTGACGATGTCGCAGAGCCAGTCGGCCATGCCGCCGGGGGTTGCGTCGATGGCTGTGTGCGGGGAGTAGACGCTGATGCCCTCTTGGGCGAGACGGAGGAGGGATGATTGTTGGGGGTCGTTGAAGGTGATGGATTTGAGGCCACGGAAGATGATCGGGTCTGTGGAGGAACTGTGTGAGTGGGTGATGGGGTGTGCAGGTGTAGGGGGCATTGCGTACGGTAGGCTACGACTACTGAGTCGCGACGGGCAATTGCTTCGTCTGCAACTGCTTTGGTGAGGTCAATTGCTAGGAGGACTGAGTTTTTCTGTCTGCGGGTGTGGTCGAAGGGCGCTTCGAGGAGGACTGGGATATAAAGTTAATGGGATGGAAGATTGGCGGAGGACGGATGAGAGCTTACGGCCGGTGTTGTCCCAGCTCTTATCTGCCAATGACTCGGGGTAGCTATTGCATTGAAGACATTAGCCATAAGTAAGCTTGATTGACCAATGTAGGTGACGGAAAGCATACAGCTTCCTCATGGAGCTCACCACTGCCTGCGTGAATGGCGACGAAGTGGGGTATGAAGCAGACATTGTGCAATAGAGGCGGACGGATTGCCGACGAAGAGAGTTCATAGACAATGCTGTCGTTGATCTGAAATATGTGATGATCAGGTGCACTTCCGGGATGTCAGCTGAGCAGCGCAAAGTTGAGCTAGAAAATACCCCGCGAACATGAAACCAGATGAAGCTTTAGAAGAAGCGATGGAAGCCGAGGAGAAGCTGGCGCCACAGCCAACCTAATCCACTCTGGGGCTAGTGCCCACCAGCCACAACGGCAGCTGACCAATCCGTTTCTTACGGTACGGTACGGGAGGGAAGAGAAAGAGGATCATTTCCATCATGAAGGAGTTCCGTCATCCTACATCGGAAGAAGCATCACCGCGCTGCCCACCCTTCTGACTCAAACCGCCTTTGACGACAATCGGTCGCTTCACCCATAATATACTTACTTAATCTTCAACTATTCAACTATCCTATACTACTTCCGATACCGCCGTCCGGCTCGCTTGATGTACTCCCGCACCACTACCCTGTTGAGCAGAAGCTGCCGGTATCTTCTCCGCACCCCCGTCCATCACAAGTCACCGTTTTCGATTTCCGCGCGCTCCTTCGCGGCAGTCAACGCAGCCATGGCCGATGCTACCTCGGGCGTTACGGCCGACTCGCTGAAGAGCAAATTGATCGATCAGTTGCAGGCGCAGCATGTTGAGATTGAAGACTTGTCGGGTATGAGAGCGTCGTGCTGATTAATTGCATTTCCATAAGGGAATGAATGCTACACAACTATATGATCCTAAGACCAGATGTTGACGATACTCTTGTCTACAGGTGGTTGCGGACAGGCTTTCCAGGCCGTCATCGTCTCCCCCCAGTTCGAGAAGAAGACCATGCTTGCTCGCCATCGCCTGGTAAACTCGGCTCTGAAGGCTGAGATCGCTGCGATTCACGCCTGGACGCCCAAGTGCTACACCCCCGAGCAGTGGCAGGCCCTGCACCAGGGCTAACTTCTAGTGCAAAGACGGAGGCTAGAGGAATAGGAAATGAATATATCCTGGGGATTGACATGCCCTCAGAGGGCATGCCGTCGGGCGTTGGGTTATTCGACATCATGGCTTTGCGCTGCCAGTTATGACTTATGCTTCGCTGGCTGTGTTTCTGAAAATAGATCTATATTGCAATAAATATTATGATATATTGTCATGTGAAGAGCCTAAGTATATAAGTTTTTTTTTTTTTTTTTTTTTTTTTTTTT